ACATGGGAAAATATTATATCGGCTGAACTCCCATTGTCAATAAGTATACGCCTTATGGTGTAGTTAGCTATGACCATGGAGACAACCAGAGGATCATCATGGGGTTGCTGGATCCCTTTGGCATCAGCCTCGGAAAACATAATGGTAGTATCAGCATACCTTAGTGTTTTTTATGGAGAGTTGAACATTCCCACCTCATTCACCTCTGTTCTTGCTCTTCTTGTGTAAGTTTTTAGGGCCGTGGCTGTTTCACCTCCTCCTGCATACCCTCCAGATACGACTCTGATCTCACCTACTGGTTGTTGTTCTGGTGGATGATTGTCCCGCCTCCCTTGTGCAGGATTAGTACCTCATCTATCATCTCCCACCATGAAACTTCGTAGGCAACCCCTTCGAATCAAATTCTCAATCTGATCTTTTAAGTCGATACAATCTTCCGTGATATGCCCATGATCTCAATGGAACCTGCAATATTTGTCTCGAGGCCTTCTTGAGGGATCAGATTTCAGCTTCGATGGCCACTTCAGGGAGGGATCATCCTGAATCTGCATAAAAACCTGACCTATAGACATAGTGAGCGGGGTGTAGTTGGATTACTTATCTGAGCTCCTATAACGAGATGCCCTTTCACTTTGATTGATTGAAGACTTTTTGAATTTGGTCTCCTTCTCGTCCTTAGCACCAGGCTGTGGTCTCTTTTTATCCACCTTTTTATCTTCTCCTTCTTTCCCCTTTTGCACACTCATCGCATCCTCCGCATTCATGTGTTTCCTGGCTCTGACCAGTAATTCTGCCATACTGGTTGGAGGTTCCTTTGACAAGGAAAAAAGGAATCTAGATGTATGCAGTCCTCCCATGAATGCGGTAAGTGCTACCCTGTCATCAGCTTCATCCACCTGCAGCATTTCGATGTTGAACCGATTGATATACTCCCGTAATGGTTCTCCCTTCTATTGTTTCACGGTGAGCAGGTGAGTGGTCGGCCTCCTGTGCCTTTGACCTGCAATGAAATAACTTACAAATCCCTTGCTCAACTCTACAAAGGTCTTAATCAAGCCTGGTTTTAATTTATTAAACCAGACCCGTGCCGACCCTTTGAGAGTAGTAGGAAAGGCCCGACACATTATCTGGTCTGGTACAGCTTGGAGATGCATAAGTGCCTGGAAAGTCTCCAGGTGATCAAAACGATCACGAGTCCCATCAAAGCTTTCAAGTGTTGGCATCTTAAACTTGCTAGGCAATGGACATCTCATGATAGTCAGGCTAAATGGCAAATTTGTTTTTTGAACAAGGTCGTCTATCGTGGTAGCGGAGCCTTTTCCCTTCATAGCTTGTATCACATCTTCTATCTTGGCATTGAAGTTCTGAATCTGTTGGTCGATGTGGGTAACCTCCTCAGTCCGTTCATCAACGTAGGTCGAGGTCAATAGCCTAGAGCTACGTGGGGGAGATAGGTGACCCGCCACCCTATGCAGATCAGCAATTTGGCTATGCTCTGCAAGAACTTCCTCATGGGAAGGCTCGTTGCCTTGTACCTCATGATTTCCCTCCTCAGCATTTAGGTTAGGCTGATCTTGAGGTGGGATTTCATTATGGTGATGACCTTGCCCTTGAGGTGGGTCTGGGGGAACAAAACATTGTAGGATCATCGCATTTTGCCGGATCAGCTCATTCATTCCCTGATTCAGGGTTTGAATTTGTTGTTCCAACGCTGCGACGGGCTCTAGGTCATTTGGGATGTGAGGGGGTTCCCCCTACACTTCCTCCTCACCAGAGGCTTGCAACGATGTTCCCTCACCGCGCTCAAATCCGGATCGTAAGACCATAATCCTTTTTAAAGAGAACTATTCAAAGTTCCCACAGACGGCGCCAACTGATGATGAATGGTCTGTAATGATTCGGAACGACAACGTTTTATCTTGACACCGGTGGGGTGCCTGCCAAACAACCTCCGATGGCAAAGTCAGTTTCCTGAAGAAATAAAGTAAGCAATTAATGAAGTGGAGTTCAATATTGCCCGTACCTCACTGGTTGGTGGGTCGCCTCTTTTTTATAATTTGCCGACGTGGAATTTGTTGCAATTTCTGAGGAGACCTTTTGCCGAGAATCACAATTTCACCTTATCTTATCAAAACTACTTTTTGAAATTGTAACGCGGACAATATTAATCACCTTACCTTACCTTACCTTACCTTATCTTATCTTATCTTATCTTATCCTATCCATAATCAACCTTCAGCTTCTATATCAAATTTCCTCGTCAGCTATAAAGGAATTAAAGGTAACAAAACACCATCAAATTTAAAATTACAAAACAAATCAATAAATAAACAAATAAATTGATTGTGCAAATGATGATCAATTGCCAAACAAATTTAAACAGGACGGTTGCATTCACTCTCACTCTAGTTAGCATAACAATGAATAAGGTACTTATTGTGTATATTCGGTGAATCAGTGTATGGTTTAATAGAGAAAGGATCAAAAATTAAAAAATAAAAAAATCTTCAATTTCTTTGATTCCTAGTTAAAGGCGAAAACCCCGTCATCTTCATCCCCTACAGTCTAAAAATGGAGCAAAAAGAAGAGAGAGGTGGTCACTGCTGACCAAAGGTCTGCGAACATGGTCGCCGTTGCCGGCTACTGTGGGTCGCCAGACCACCTTGATGTGCGAGAGCTTAGCTTTTTGGTTCTGCACTTCACCCCAAAGAAATAGCATGTTCATAAATTGTGTGATCGAAATACAGTTTTTCTGATGGATGTGTGGTTATAAGAAATGATAAAATTAGAATTAATTCCATTGAAGTAGCACTTGTTGGACATACAAAGGTTGAAGTGGCACTTGTTGGACATGCGAATGAGAGAAAAATTGACCGAAGTGTTTGATTATGCGTAATGAATGAAAACCAATAACTGCTAGCGAGGAATGGTGATGCGCTTCACATTGAAAGTATTGATAGGGGGCAGGGAAAGACCAAAACTGAAAATAATGATAGCGTGTAACATGAGTTACGGCCTTTAGACATAACAGTATTGCAAAACAGATTCACATAATTGACCCTAATTTGTTGGCAATAGGGGTGTGGCTTTGTCGTGTTGCGTAGTTTCTTTCTGTGGTTATAAACATGTAAGAAATTCGCTATTTAAACTCCTGTACTCAAGTTTGAGGTGCTTGAATTAATATTTCTTTTTCTTTTTTCTAATCATATTATGTGAAATGTTGCAGATACTTAAACATGAGCAATTTACTTGCAATAGTTGACATTCATAAAATGTATCTAATGATTTAGGAGTTTAATACATCCTCTAGTAGAAAGAGGATATCCTTTACTCGTTATCAAACAATCAGTTTCAATGGGATGTAAAATTTTGCACAAATTTGTGTTTTTCTTTAATCATTATTGTTGTTGTTACAATTATTAGGGCAGCAAGCATTTTACACCTGTAATGTGCATATAGCTTATATAACCCATATATGTTCTAAAAACCCCCTATAATTTATACTTAGGGATGAACAAGGACCTCCCCTCGTTGCCATTAATGGACCGATAAAAGTACTAAAATGCCCTTCCTACAACTAAAATACAAAATTAAAAAAATTTCCCTTAATGTAAAATGACTATTATGGCCTTTATATACAATAAGGGTAACGACATTTTCAAAATCAAATAAGGTCATTTTTGGTATTTAATACAATTAATTAGTCATGTGCATGTGGTTTGTTAACGATACTTTTTTAATGGTTGACTGCCGAAAAAGCATAGTTTATAACATTTTTAAATTTTTAAGGAAGATATATACTCAAAGTAAAAGAGATTTGTTATTTGTTCAAAAAGTATACCTTAGACGTGTTTAATATACTTGGCCCTTATTATTATTGGTTGTCATAAAAAAAAATTTATTATTATTATAATTGTTGTTGCCGTCGTAGTTGATTGCTGGTCTGCTTTCTTACAGGATTTGGATTTGTATGGAATTCTAGCGGAGACTGAAAGGCGTGGTCTCACCTTTGACCAAATACTTACCATTCCCGAACAAGATGAATGAGTATACAGTGATGGGAAATCAACAACTTGCGTTGCCTTTATTTTGGAAATGTATAAAGAGGCTGGAGTATTTGGTCCTATTTCCAACTCAATTCAGGTAACTGAGTTCACTGTAAGCATATGAGGTTGTTCGTTATTAAGTTGGTCTGCCTTGCCCCCGGGGGCACAAGAGTGATGGTAGGAGCTCGACTCTTGCATTCTACAGGTCAGTGTTCGAACCTCTCAAACCTCTTATGTTCTCGACTCATTCGATGTGTGGCTATGGGGCTGTGCTACATTACCCCCAGTTTGGCGCCGTGGGGTGGAGTCCTGAGGGGACTTGTTTCAAGGAGTTCTGGGTCATCAAAAAAAAAAAAAAAGTTGCTCTGCCTTTTTGACCCCATGATCTCTATACATGACTTGGATACGTTACCACAGATTCGAGACTGCCTTTTTGACCCCATGATCTCTATACATGACTTGGATACGTTACCACAGATTCGAGATGCATACATGCTGAAGATTTTTGAGAATAACCTAACGCGCCTGCCTAGTTGGTGCGGCATTGAGGGTTGAGTTGCCGCAGTATAACACCCAAGAGCCATATGCCAACATGAATGAGAATTGCCCCTCTACCTCAAGTTAAGAGAGGCCTCTTCGTTGTTAATTCTTGAATGGAAAGTATTTCAATGAATGTAATGCTGTCGGTGAAGCTTGTATTATGTGATTTTCTAAGCTGAAAGGATATATATTTTTTTGTTATTTGCTGAAACAATACGTTCTCTGTTTAAAGTGGAAATATGAACATGTGGAATAAAGTCGGTCCCAGGCCCGGATAAAGGAAGAGGGTTGTTTTAGCTAGTTACACAGCCAACTTAGAACATTGTGAATATGATTTTACATTACTCCTAGAAAGTTTGGTCTGAGGAGTCATATTGTGTCAACACGTTTAATCCAAACAAACCATATTCGGTGTATTTTTTTTTTCCAATTTCAAGTCCAAAGGCCTATTTTATATATCTGCGTAAATTTTCAATACATTGAATTGCATGAAAGTAAAAGTACTACTAGCCTACTTCATTTGCAATCCTCCTACCTTCCTATCATATCGGGCAGCCTACTTCATTTGTTGCCAAATAACAATCTGCAATCCTCCGCCCTTCATTTCATCTCTAGTTCGTGGGTCAAAAGATAGCTGGGCTGACCGAGGAAGCCGAGTCAGAAGAGGTGGAGGAAACGTGGTATCCAGATCCCGAGACAGAGGGGCATCCGGATCCGTTGGCAAATCCGGATCCGTTGGCAGAGGCATCCGGCAGAGGGTATCCAGATGCCCCTCTGCCTCGAGGTAAAAGTACTACTAGCCTACTTCATTTGCAATCTACCTTCGTATCATATCGGACAGCCTACTTCATTTGTTGCCAAATAACAATCCGCAATTCTAACTGGGCTGAACGAGGAAGCCAAGTCAGAAGAGGTGGAGGAAACGTGGTATCCAGATACCAAGATAGAGGGGTATCCGGATGCATTGGCAGAGGGGTATCCGGATGCCCCTTTGCCTCGGGGTAAAAGTACTACTAGCCTACTTCATTTGCAATCCTCCTACCTTCGTATCATCTCGTAGCTAGGCAGACTACTTCATTTGTTGCCAAATAACAATCCGCAATCCTCCAGCCTTCATTTCATCTCTAGTTCGTGGGTTAAAATGTAGCTGGGCTGACCGAGGAAGCCAAGTCAGAAGAGGTGGAGTAAACGTGGTATCCGGGCCCGGATGCAGAAGGCATCGGGATCCCGAGGCAGAAGGGCATCCGGATCCATTGGCAAATGCGAATCCGTTCGCAGAGGAGTATACGGATCCATTGGCAGCGGGGTATACGGATCCGGATACGCCAAGAGCATATTTTGCAGTACTGATACCCAAAGACGCCAAGCCCCAGAAGAAAGTGGGGAGAAGTGAAGTCGAGGCAACGGCCAGACTCGAGACTCGATTTAGCAACCTTCAGTTTTGTTGCCCCAATGTCTGCTACAAATTTGGCAACCTGAAGACTTTCAATCTTCAAAGCCCCCTGAAATCATCCTCGGACTTCTCTGATTTTGAATCGTTTCATTTCCACCATTCTTCAAGTTTGGATCCGCTGACTGCAACCGCTCATGCCAACAACTTTTTTCCACACCCCTCAACCTAATATAACAAAATAATAAAAATTGTCAATTTTTTTACAAATATATAATTAGAAAATTAGATACAACCTTAAAGAATGGGAAAAAGAAAGTCTTTTGCCATAACGAAATTAAAGGTAACAAACCAACAATTTTATCATTTACACCATCAAATTTAAAATTACAAAACAAATCAATAAATAAACAAATAAATTGATTGTGCAAATGATGATCAATCCAATAAAACTAATCTTTATAACAACCGGTGCTATTTCTATAATTCCGCATTGTGCCTATTTGATTAAAATAAAAACAAGGTATTGTTCACTGCTGCAGTATTAATAATTTCAAATCTTGAATTCAACATCAGAGTTGATGTACAGGGCAACTTACCCATTGTAAGTTAGATGAATCATTTAGATACTAAAAACAACTTAGTGCCTAGTTCTTGACTTGTCCCTGATTCGCATTTATATCAAAAATCCAGTCACCAATTGATATTGCAAGAGAATAGATTAAAAGACACATCTTACATGGTTTCAATCAATTGCCAAACAAATTTAAACAGGAAGGTTGCATTCACTCACTCTAGTTAGCATGACAATGAATAAGGTACTTATTGTGTATGTTCGGTGAATCAGTGTAGTTTGGTTTAATAGAGAAAGGATCAAAAAGAAAAAATTAAAACAAAACCACAAATCTGCATTTAGCTATTTCCTTTGGTTCATTTTACTTTCTTTTTTTTTTAATTATTATATAACATGTGGTCTGGTATGAACTATTTTCAGTTTAAGAAATAAAAACACAAGATCAGGTGAAGTGGAAGTAGTGAATTCACAGAGGGTAATGCTGTTTAGGCCGTGGAGTTTGAACTTCTACCTAATACTAGCCGAGTCATGAAATTGTTACAAACAGATTTATGATTTTGCAGGACATTGGAAACATAAATTACATGACTAATCTATGATTATCGTCATTAATTTGTAATAATCAAATGACTAACTCACAAGACTAATTCTTAAAATCCATTTTCAAGAACATCCAAAAATCGATTCACGATCTGAAGAATAAATTGATTTGACCTTTCGAAAGTTGGAAGTAAAGCCATTTGCATAGAAAATCAGAAGAAAGTATTCAGTTACGCAAAAATTAATAATAATAACATACCTTTTTTTCTTTTTTGCCTACTCCACCCATTCCCATCAACTCTCTTCTATTGTGAAAGGAACCTATATTATTAGGACAAAAGAGGGAAAGTTTTAAATGCCTTAACAAACTTGTAAAACACACATTCTGAAATTGAACTAACACTTTGAAGTCCTTTCCATTAATAAATTGTTCGAGTATCACATCAGAACAATATTATATATGTGTAGAAACAAAAACATCAGTATGTAAAACATGAATAAATAAACGTAACCAATAGCGAAAAATGCCAATTAAAATTTTAGAAAAAATAGGAGTTTGTTACCTGATGACTGAGGAGGCATGTTTCTTGAGTCTTGACCCTTTTTCTTGCTCGTTGTTGTTAAGGCCCCGTGTTAATCTAAAAATAAGAAAACACTGAAGTTGTGAGGAATAGGTTTCACAATCTCACTCAAGGTCGGATCCAGGATTTCTCAACGGGGTGGGCTAAATAAAAATATATCAACCAAAATCAACTGTTGTTTAATACAATTTTATTTAATTAACAACGTGACAATGGACTGATTAAGGCATAGAAAATCCTATTGGGGTAATTAATAAAAAAAAATTACCAATTTATTTCTGAACAATTCACCACTCAGTACCCTCTCTCTTCTTTTGACCAATTTACTAATCCTATTTGAGAATCTACAAGTGGAAGCAGAGTGTGAGGTAGTTCATGGCAAGCCCCTTCCAACACTATGGAATTCACTCAAAAGCATGCTTTTTGTAAGTATTTTAATTTTCAAGAAGTAACTTTAGAGCTTTACCCTATATTAAGTACTTTTGCTTTTCAAAGTTCTTGTTATGATTTTTTTTTTTTAGTTCTGAAAAGATTTCCATCTTCAAAAAGCTTGGCATGCTGATAAAAATTGTTTCAGATTCAATCTCTCAGATTTCTAATCCAATTCAGATTTTTTTTTTTTTTCTTTTTCATGACCAGATTCAAATTTTCTTTTAGACATAATTAACCAAAAAAAAATAGAAGTTATAGAAATAAAAAATATATATTTGTTTTGCTGAAAAAAAATGTAGATTACGGTGATTACCTCAAAATGCAACGCAATGATTATCTCAAAATGCAACGCAAATTTTGTAACTTTATATTGTAAATATATATATATATATATATATATATATATATATATATAAAAGATCATAAAAAATTTCACCAAATAGGATATAGTTTGCAAAACAAGAATTACAGAGCCTGATTAGTTGATTTAGGAAAGAAATAAAAACAAAACCCATACCTACAAGTTAGCAGTTGCAGAGAGAGAGAGGGGGGCAAGCTTGAGAGTTGAGAGACAGCGGGCCAGCGGCTGAAGCTAGCGAACGGCGAACCCGAACTGGAACAGCGGGCGATGAAAACTGAAAGATATGGGTTTCGATTTTTTGAACAATCTGAAATGATATGCCGATATGGGTTTGATTAGGTTTTGAACTTTTGATTCAGATAGATAAAGTGAAATATATGGGTTTTGAACTTCTGATTCTTGTAGATTTTGTAGTTTGCAGTTGCAGAGAGAGAGTGGGCAAGTTCAGAGTTGAGAACGAGAATAGAGATAGATGGAGGCGAAGGCGATTGGGGAGGGCTGAAATGATTTGCCCTAAAAAGCAGCTTTGGTCAAAAAGCAAGTTTGGTACTGGTCAAAAAGCAGGTTTGTTGGGATTTGGCTGATTTGATTATGATACGGTGATGATAATGATATTTCGTGTTTTAACAAAAAAAAAAAAAATGATATTTCCTGTTTGAATTTCAAACTCACAAAGTACAATAATTTATTATCAAAATAGAGACTTAAATCATAAAATTTCAATTACCATCATTTTTGTATTGTAAAACTATAACTTTTTTTTTCGGAAATTTGTAAAACTATGACTTGTCTGTACTGTAAAGTTATCTTTTTGCCCTAATTGTATTAATCAACGGTAAATAATTTATTAATGTTTAAATTATCATATGATAAAAAATAAAGGACTAAAATTATAAAATCCTAGTTTTGTCACTAAAATTTGATTGCCAATATATATATGAAGACCATATGCGAATTCGAGCATAGTGATAACTTTGTAATACTATTAGAGTGTTTACGAAGGTTTTATAATTTAAAAAATGATAGTATTAAGCGTTTTATGATTTAAGCACTCAAAATAATAAGTACAAAAATTTTTAACTACTATATTTTTTAGTTTTTAGTTATTTAGAAATTAAAAAAAAACCGTTATTACAATACTAAAATTAGTGGTCTAATGATATTTCATCAACCTCTAAAATTAGATGGTAAAGGTTGAAGTCCCAATAGGGGCAAATGGATACTCTTTTAAAAGCATCTCTAATGAGCTCTCCGAATTTGCCACATCAGCATTTTTCAATAGCCACGTCAGTATTTTTCATAACCACGTCAGCGTTTTAGAGTCTCCAAATTTTAGCTATCGAATGTACTTTAATTGTGCATTTTCACTCTTCTAAAATATTAATATTTTAATATTTTTTAAATTTTTAATAAATTTTATTTTTTAACTTTTTCGTAACGACTATATTTTTAAAACAATATCATACAAAATATTTAAACAATACAATATTTATTATTAAAAACAATACGATACGACATAAATTTAAACAATACAATAAAAATAAAAAACAATGCAATACTACATGAATTAAAAAACAATCACATGGAATGCTTGAGATAATCCTATGGGAAGCTTGAGTTATCACGTGTGCGTATAGATGCTAATATTTTATTTTGGCGTTCAATTAGCCATGCTTTCCCGCTTATGTTGGCATCAATTCTATATCTTTTTGCATGATTAAAATCTCTTTAGCTATTTGTTTGTTTTCAATTTCTCTTAGTTTGCTTTGAATCTCAAGTTGTCTGGTCTTTTCTTTATCTGCTTTGCATGCCTCTCGTGCTATTTGAGCGGCCTCAAGAGTTTCAGATTGTCTTTGATAAAGGGTTGTTGCATAATCGAATTTGCTAATGAAATCATTCTGACTTTTAGATTGTCTTTTATCCTTATTTCGCCTCTGCATCGCTGCTTTTCGTCCTTCTGGTTGCTGACATTCTTCAACATCCGTCGAATCATTTTCGCCTATGTGCGCCGATCCTTCAACCGAACTTGGTGTCGTTGTTACATTACTTGATGGAGTATATAGGTTTGAGTGACCAATAGGCTCACTATCATCAATGTGGATTACACTCCTCTTCTTCGGCTGTTTTTTTTTTTTTTTTTTTTTATGTCAATTCTTTTTGACAATGTAAATGCCACTTATTGTTGCTCTTCAAAATGTTCCAACAACTATCAAACTTAAATTTGGTATTGTTTTGACGAGCAAACAACCTTTTGGCTGCTGCCATCTAAAAAATAAAAATCAATAATTATTAAAAGACAAATCTTTAAAATATCTACCAATTAAATTTAATATAATAAATAACTTACCTTGTACTCATTGTCTTGTCCACTGGGGTAATTTCTTTCGATCTGGGACATGCATCCAGAAAATTTGGTAATCATTTGTTATATGAAGGACCAACGATTCAAGGAGGCGATATGATTTCTTTTAGGTGTACCAGCACCACTAACGTGTTGCTCAAAACTTTCTTAAATTCGAATCCATAACGCTATCTTTTGTTGGTCTGAACCGATGACCGCATCAATACTAATGGCCATCCACGCATAACATAAAACCTCATCTTCAACCGTGGACCAATTAGGAGGCCGAATAACCCTTTGCTTTCTAGGAGGTTAGGAGTTACTAGATTGTGGTACTTCAGTAGGAATGTTAGAAACTTGAGAAGGTTAATGAGACGGAAATTGAGATTCTTCTCTAACAAATAAGAAGGGATCAAAATTATCATTTGATTGGTTGAATTGGAAATTGTAGTTGCAATATAGTGGTGTAGGATCCATGGAATTGAATATGGGTAAAAAAATATAACTAAAAGATTGAGAAAATGACTTAATGGTTGTAGTTGTAGGTTAAAGACTAAAGAAGATGGGTTGGATATAAGGTGAATAATAGTAGGGGTTAATGTACTTATAGAGGAAAAACGAAAGTTTTTTTTTTAAAATAAATAAATAAATATATATATATATTAAAAAAAATAAATTAAAAAAATTTGTTTTTGTGCCAATATAGCCGTTAGGGCACTGTTTGGGTCAGTCAAACAGTGCCTAAAACGGCTATATGTCAGAAGGAATATTTTTGAAAGTAAATTTTTTTTTTTTTTTAAAAAAAAGCATTTTTCTCTATTTTTTTTAAACTTTTTTTGCCCAAAAAAGCCTTTAAGGCACTAACGGCTCTTTGGTTCAATTATTTTGAAAAAAAAAAAGAAATTTTTTTTTTTTTTTTTTAAGCAAACAGAGCCTTAGGAACAGTGCTTTGGGTTAAAACACTGTTCTAGCCCAGAATAAAAAATTTAAAACAAATCTGATGCGGGCCCGTATGGCAGGCCAGCGCCTTGCCAAGAGAAAACCGCGACCCAACCTATGGGGCCCAAATTTTGGCGACGCCATTGGAGGCATCCAATAGCGAAACTGCCCAGAATCGCCTTTTCTGGGCCATGTCGGAGCTGCTCTAAGTCCTTCAATTTTGTAGTAGACATTTTTCTTTTTTTTCTTTTCTTTTCTTGTCTTTTTTTTTCTTTCTTCTAAAATTAGCTTTTTGTTAAAAAAAAAAAAAAAAACTAGAATAAAAACAAATTTTCAAAATTTTGTTTTGTTGATAGTTTATTTAAAATGGTTATTACAAACCAAGTTGAAAATGATACGAATACAGAATACTGTGTAAATTAATTTTGTTTTTTCAAAATTTTTGAACAAATTCTTTGGCAAAACTGAACTAAACATGTCTTTGATTTTTTTCACTACATGTTCTCTTTTTTATTCTTTTAACCTTTATCATCTCTTCATATTCTTTCTTCCCTTCATTCAAAGCAAAGAATAGAGTATTTAATAATGAGATACTTTCATACAATTACTTGTAAACTTTCAGTAATTTTTATACATGATTTATGTTATTCCATCCGTCCCGTTCCAAAAGAGACGTCTACTTTGAGAATTCTGAGTTACAATACTTTAGAAACTGTGCCGTTACAATACTTTATTAAGTACCAAATTACACTTCAAACACCACACCAAGAATCTATCTGTGGTAGGAGAAGCATTGCAGGAAACAGTATTGTTCGAAAATATTTATTCAAGTGGAATGCATACCAAAGAATCTATCTGTGCTAGGACTGCCTGCAAAAATCAGTTAAATATGTGCGCGACACACAAGTACATATGCACACACTTCGCACAAACGAAAGTCAAAGAACTAGAAAAAAAGAGTGCCACGAAGTTTTCTATAGAAAAAATATATTTTTATTTAATATATTAATCTTGAGCCTTACAGTGTATGTGCACAATTTAAATGGACTGTTGACTGTAACCCAGTTTCTGATAATTCATGTAGTCAATTCCATTTAACCGTATACAACATAATATCTGCTCTGGCAACTCTTCAGCTTTGTTCCCCTGGTTTATAACGGAAACGAAAGGTAATATTAATAATAGCATGCAATATAAAAAAGCAAAAATCAGGGAAAAAAAAAATTAAAATGAAGAATGGGAAAGTTTAAGATAGGGTTGCCACTCAAACTTGGTGGGTATTGGAAGAACTTGCCTGAATTGTAAGTCCAACATCCAAAATGCAGTGCTTTAGTCTATCCAGGAATGCTTCAAACCCTTTCCTAGAGATGTAACTAAATCGGTGCATATCCACATCAATCTCGAAATAGTTTTCTCCCTGTAAAAAGTTCACGGAATCATGGCTGAGAATGGAAGCATGAAAAACACTACATTCCAAATTTTTCCAGAATTGTTGATATATAGCAAACCAAATGGTCATTTCAACTTGCTTGTTGCTCAACCAAAAGGAAGTCATAAGTAGCAATAATTAAGCATATACTACAAAAATTTGCAACACTCTGTTACTCAACAAAAACATAACCCCGCACAAGCACAGATGTAGCTAGTAACTACACATACATCCACTATGATGTTGCAAACAGCATTAGCACCTCTCAACTGGGGATAAAACCCTATTTAGACCTCGCAACCTCATAGCAAAAAAAATGAAAAAAATATATATACAGATGAAGAATGAACTATTGATTAATTCCAATTCTAGGAGACATCCGGATACCTTCCACTGTATTTTATATTAAACCAAAAAAGTTAAAAGAAAAAAATGCTTATTAAACCGTATGAACTTACCAAGTAGAATTCATGTTGAGGTCGTGAAAGAACGGGTTTTTCGTTGTAAGCATGCATAAGCTTCCTTTCTGGTGCACTTAATGGAAGGTCATCCACATTCGCTACACGGCCCAATATCTTCAATCTTTCCCGGAAAGGAGCAATTGTATCTACTGGAAATCCTTTGACCTTTTCTACTTCATTATCAACTAACCTCTGTTCCAAAAAGTTGAATTAATATGAAGTAATCAGCAGAATATCACAGATCAAAGGATACATATAAGATTAAATACAAAATGAACTAACTGTATACTACCTAAATTCATACTAAATAATGAGAATGAAAGGAATTTACTCTTACAACAAGAATATATTATGCAAAGAATCACAAAGCTACCAACGGGCCAGTGGCCTAGCGGTATCAGCCTCTTACCTCCCAAAAGGAGGTCAGAGGTTTAAATCTCAAAAGAGACAAGTGTGTGAGTACCAACTAGGGAAAAAAAAAACAAAAAAAAAGAATCACAGAGCTTCTCATCATAGCAAAATTGCTAGGAAAATCATTAAAGTGACATGAGCGAACCACCAGGTAAAGAAAAGAGGAAGAAGATGATCCAAATGTCGAACAATAGTTGGTCCATCTTACCCTGATATGTTCTTGAAAATTGGATGGAACTTCCTTTAAGTAACTTTCAGATAGCTTAAAGTACAAAACAATACTCATTCCTTCCCCATCAGTTTCATTCTGGAAAATAGTGGGTGGATACAGTGGAATCTGTAGAACTCACAAAAAGGAAAAAAAAAAATGACAGTATCAAAAGAGAGGGGGTCAATAAGAAGAACAAGAACAATATGATCCCAGTCCATTGGTAATTTGTTTAAAATTCAAACTCATATTTTTAAAGTTCTGTAAGTCTCATGTACAGGAAAGTAATTTAATATACAACAATATGATAGCCATACAGTTTAACTTACTGGGGAAAAATATATATATATGATAGATATACAATATGATATAGAATGCCGCCATTCAATAAACATTCTTTAGATAACCGGATAGTAAAGCAAGACATTGATTATTGAGTAGCAAGATGGGGAAAATGAACTAGAGATCACTGTATTTAATGTGAAAGTAGTGTTTTTTAAGGAAAATATTAATTATTGAGTCACCTGGAGATGGTTTTTGTCACCAATAAATCAGTCACAGGATTGAATTTAAAGGCGCTAAAAGGCCAAGGGACCACAAAAGCGTGGCCAAGGCTGTGCAGTATCACACTAGCTTATGACATGAGAGAAGACAGCCTTCGACAGAAATGAATGGTGAAAATTAATTTGCTGGCTGCGCCAAATAAAGCATTAAGGAAATTTTCTATTGTGCTTCTGCATCCCTCCGTAGGATTGCAATCTCTAATTATTTTACCAAAGATATTACAAATCCAAAACCGTATATGAATGAAACAAATTTATCGCAAACTAATGGATGAGAAGATAGTGTACTATTTTAAAATTTTCCATTGCATTGCAGGTATGCGATTGAAGTATTCAGTGTGATATCTGTGATTAAAGAGATTGAAGTTCTATGTCAAGTGTAGCAAATGTTCAGCAAGGTGATATCTTCCAGAATTTGAAATTTTCTTTACATTTTTTAACTACAATAAATTGAAATATGATTACAAGTGAAATTTGCTACAATTAAGAGGAAATATACCTGAACATTTACGACAAGAATGGGTGGAAGCTGCCCGGATGAATTAATAATTGGGAGTTCCACCAACCGAGCTATGTGATCAATTTTCCTCTGAGATAGGAATACGTCAACACCAAAAGGATAATATGCTGCATGATTAGAAGCAAATTCCTTCTTTTTATCCCTGCAAAAGAAAAAATTAATCACAAAATGAAATATGAATATTTCAAATGTTAGAAAAAGACCACCAATGTGAGTCTTAACTACAGAGTCCTGTGCAACTTCTAAATAGGTGTCATATACATGTGTACACACACACACATACACACCTACATATATATGTATGCATATATATATATAGGAATATATATGCATGCATGTATTCATGAATCATCTGATAACTGTACTCTTACCTAAAATAATTCTCTCCCCGAACTCTGAAAGTATTCGGTTCAATATTTGACCAGCAATCCATCATTTTCTTTTCTATGGGGCAAAAAGGTACTTGAGAACCTGCTATTGGTCTTTCCAGAAGTTCCTTTGCAGAAACTGGGAAAAACAAGAAAAAGTCTTGGTTAGTAACTTTTATATGTTCTCAACAAACTTAAAAACAAATTGCATTCAATTTATAACTTCAAAGGACCAACCTCTCAGCACGTCCTTTTTCTTTCATTCTCATATTTTTTCGTCTTTCTTCCCTTTTTTCTTTTTTCTTTTTTCTTTTTTCTTTTTTTGGGGAATATAAAAGGATGTGCATAAATATTTTAAAAAGGATTGAAGTTGCAAGAGAAACTATGACGAACAATTTTTTGTATTTACTAGATAGGATTTTGACTTGTAATAGAAAATAATGAAAGAAGAGAATTCATGTGGCCAACCCCAGTCATGCGAGATTAAGGCAAGGATGATAATGATGATTTAGATAGATCTTTTTATTAAATATTCAGTTAACAAACACAGCCAAAAATAATAATAATAGTTGCACATAGACAATTTATCTAAAGTAAAATTCTCACAAAACAATCATTTCTAAGCCCCATACCACAGTGACCAACTCAAAATTCTATCTTAAGCTTCTTAGCAGAAGTCAGCAGAGCACAGGGTATCACTCACAACACTTTCCATTTTCTGAAATGCTTGTATTCTCTAGTTAATATGAAAGTAACCTTAAAGTAATGGTTACCATTATCTACCAAAGAACATGAAAGAAACCTAAATAAATCAAATTACTAGGTGAACAGGTAAAGTAATATCCTTATTGGCAAGATATCTTTCTCTCTTTTCCCTTTTTTTTTTTATATGTATCCAATACTTTCTCTTTGAACAACCAATAATGTCATCCTAATTGTTATAAGACCCCATGTCGTATTGTTATTAAATTTTGACTGCGCAAGTGGGTTAAATCTAGAGTGGAACCAGTTAACAACTCATGGCCTACAATTACCTTGGGACCAAATGAGCAAATTGAGGTATTTACTGGACTTGGGAATCAAGCAAGTAACTAAGGGACACCAAACCCCAGAATGTGATGCCAACATAGAGAGGTTTTCTTACAATTAATATGAAAAAAAGACAGAATAATACACCAGGCCTTCTGTTAAACTTAAAGGATGGAAATGTAAATAATTTAATAGCACATGAGAAGAGAACAAAGAGAAGTAGTAACAACAATTCTACCAATAGTGGTAACTATATACACATGATTTTTATGTATGTTTGCTTGTATTCAAGTGACTAAAAAAAAATAAAAAAATTAGCAGTAATGGTACTCACACATAGTGGCACTAGGATGTCCATCCCTCCATTTGAAGGAAAGTCTTGATGCACCCTTTTTTCTTGAGTTTGGTGGACTAGAGCTTAGTGATCTTCTCTTCTCAACTGAAGGGATAGTAGAAGCAAGACAAGGCAAACAGTTGTTTGGAAGAATTCCACAATTTTCCATTACTCCTTCCTCCCTGCCACCATTTTCATCCACAGAGGAGGAGATTTCATCAAGGAAAACAGGTTGCTTTGCTTCATTTGGAGGTCCTTCAGATTTTGATTTGGAATCAACATCATCTGAATGGATTGAACTTTTAACAACCTCACTGAGAGAGTTGCGTGCAGAATTTCCTGCTGTTAAGTACCCTGGTCGATGTAGTTGATCAGTTGAAGAGGTGCATAGGTTATTGAAAATATTGTCTCTGTTATTACCATCTTAGAGAACCAATACCTGATACAGATGAACCTTCAAATCCATTTTGGGACAGCACATCTGAGAACAGAAAACATATCCATAGCTCAAAATCAACATAACTGGTCAATCAGAAGGTCGAAAGAAACATGAAGTTTAAATATACGATTAAAACTAAATTTTCCTTATTTTTACCATCCTGGACACTTTCAAAATCTTCATCACAGTCAGAGTCAAGTATAGCAGCAGAATCAAACCATGCCTCCTCAATACTTCCTGTCAGTGTTATCACATCGTGACAGAAATCAGGAAAGCAGCATTTGAAGCTACTAGAGCGGCAGATTACTATCTCAAGGATATTTCAATTTGACACATGTTGAAAGAATGATACAGTATTTAACAGAAACCAGAATTAGAAAAATACTGAAATAAAAAAATTGTAAAGGAAGCCTTTAGAATTTTTTGTTTCTCTACCTAGCCATGATCTTGACTTTTCTGCTTGTTCAATAGCCAGAAACAGCGTCCGGGTGGTACACTGTTATCAAAGGCCCAAGGCGCACTAAGGTGCTAGAGGTCCTTTGGAGCCTAGGCGCAAGGCAAGGTGCACTATTGAAAAATTAAATTACTATTAAAACATATTCATATTCCATATTCAAGGCGCAAATCTTGTCAAAGGCACACCTGGGCACACAACAGGTGCAAGTGTTGCGCCTGGAGCCTAGGCGGGCATTTAACAACACTGGGGTGGTATGAACTGGGAAGGATTGTACATAATAGATGTATTCAAGGAAAATACACACATGAAGCTTGTTTTCTATGGAACAAGGAAAAAACTAAAATTCTGTATTCCTGATCCAAAATATCTCAACTTTACATGACTTTTAACTTCTTAAGAACTTGAAAGCAGGCCACAAAAGGATGTCTTTGTAGCACCCTTAAGAAGTTTACCAAAACTATATTTCCAAGGCACCAAATGCAGCAATCAATCACCGCCCTAATTATGTAAAATCCTCACTGTGAACACCTGCATGGTAGCTATCTGTGTAACTAAGCTCATAATTTTGAGTGAAGTTTCCCTAACCACCAATTTACATGTATAATCCACCTTCTAGTGTTTACTGCCCCTAAGTTCTTTGCGGACCCAATAAGCGCAATTAGAAACTTCAGTAAAATTAGAGAATGCTATTTACAACATAGGATATTCTGTGGTAATGCATCACTAATTTATCAACCAGCTATAGTTTTCCATACATAAAACATCATCCCATTAAACTCCGATATATTTGGAAGCTACTTTTACCATGTCTAATGCCAAATTAGATGGTCTTATATCGTTGCCTAGACATCTAATTTATCAAACTAGAGTCGCCATTCTTTTACTCATTGAAGCCTTTTCGAACTAGTTGGAATCATCTAAATAAATTATATTTCGCCATTCCGCTCTATCTAAGAGTCCTGAAAACTACATATATATACATACATATATATATATATATATTACAAGTCCCCATCCCTTCTCCAAACTACAAGATCTTGAACACTATCAATCTTCAAACAAGGCACTCATGTTGTTTTCTACAAAGCACACCAAGTTTTGAACCCAGATGCAATTGTACAAAATGAGAGGCATCTCCCACGGCTATGAACAGGGAATTGGGACTCCTATAGTAATTTCCACAAAGTACAGTTTTCAGTCCTTGGCTCACCAACAAGCCTTGAGAGGACCCTCCAAAACCTCCAATTTGAGATGTGATCAACTTATTAGTCTTTGATAGCTAATAAATCAACTAAAGAGCTGCATCCACGTCTATTTAAATTAGACACCATCAGCTCATCTAACAGAAAAATACAGAACCAAAATCAAATCAGTCAATCTCTATAGAAAATATTTGAAATACTCTACAAACTTACCCTGAACATTCTAATTTCATGAATTATGAAAAAGAAAGGACCACCAAATTGTCAGGCAATTCTCAAAAAATTTCAAGGTCAATGATCATGTAATGATTTGAATGTTGAAACCAAAAAGTACTAGTTCTTATAAGAATCCCTCCCAAATCCAAAGCTGTACATCTTTATGTTAAGAGAGTACCAGCTTCACACAATGCAGCTAGCTTAGCTTAGTCCAAATTCCCATCTTTCTCTCACAATCCAAACCATAAACTCCATTAATCACAGTTCAAATTCAAAAATCAATTTCAAATTGCAGTCTCAAAATCATTATTATATATATGTGTATGCAGAGAGATAGAGGCAGAGAAAGGACCATGAAAAGTGGGATTGTTATGGGAGCGATCCGAAGGGGCCGACTTGTGGACCTTGTCCAACGATCGATCAGACAAACGAGACGAAACTCGCTGCTTGATTGCTTTCCTTCGCTTGCGACACTTCCTCTTCGACGAACTCGATCGACCTCCCACACAACTTTCCGGCGTCGATACGCAAGCTCCCATAGCTCGAGAGAGAAAATCAATATATATATATATATTATGTAGATATATATAGAGAAAGAGAGGAGGCAGAACCTCCCACGAATCTTCCTCGCTCTTCAATCAGAAACGTCCACAGTGATCGTTACCGTCTAGAGAGAGAAAGAGCAGAGAAGAGAAGGAGATCCATGCGTGAGGAGAAGATAACTGCGACCTAACCCCCTCGTTGTTTTCACTTTTTGTTTATTTTCTCACTCTATATACGCACCAACTTTCTCTCTCTCTATATCTATATCTTTATATCTGTATCTATAGTATTTGGTTTGATATGATTTTCAGAGCTAAGCTATAAGAAAAGCCAGAAACAGAGAGAGAGGGAAAGAGGTCAATAATAACGCTAAACACATAATGAACCTGACGGCAGTTGCCTGCGTAAGGCATCTTCCCTCCAGGAAAACGGTGGGACCCACTTTTTTGTGTGTGTATGATCGCCACGTGGCGAAATACTGGGCAGTTTTGGAGCGAACGTGTGGGAGTCTGGCCTGATGGGCTCGTGAGATCTGACGGTATTTAAACGTGCTATCAAAGTGGGCCCCGCAATCTAATGCTGCATTGTGTTTGGAGTTTTACAATTACGGTGGGGTCCAGCTTATGGTGGGTTGATTACAATGTTTTTGGCAATTAGCTTTGTGCAAATCAAATCCTCTCCATCGTGTAACAAACCTTGTTGTTTAGGCCGAAATAGTTGTGGGCCTACTCTACTTGTCTCCATCAATTTTAGATTTTTATTTATTTATATATTTTTCTCTTGGTGGTTAGTTTCTTTGAAAAACTTTATTGCTCTAATTATATATGATTGGGATCCCCTATCAGTTACATACACGCATAATATGACCTAATTTTATGAGTCGTAATTTTTAAAATGTCTAACTATTTTGAGACGAAAAAAATATATGTGACAATATATAGTTTATTAAAAGTACAAATTGGTACAGAAAAAATTTTCTGGCCTCCTACAAAGTGGTCAAGAACTAGGTACCTTGTGGTCTAGTATACCTTTTAAAAGGAATGGTGAATAAATTTGAACTTTCCATCCTCGAGCTGATAGGTTTTGAACGCGAGCTAAAGGTCCTAAACAATACACGCCCTTTTGTTGGGTAGTACCGCACCTGTCATTAAGTTATCTCTTTAAAATTAACATGTTGCTTGCAAATTGGTGGGTAAAGAATTATTTCCAATGCAAAATGTGATTCACTATCAAATTTATCAATAAAAATTACTACTAATTAATGCAAATGGAAAAAAAAAAAAAAAAAAATCAAGAAACTCACACACTCCATTTATCAAATTTGAACTCAAACTCAAACACTCACAATTGTTATAGAGATACCACTGAACAATACAACATTTGATAACGTCAAAAAATTAAATCATATAACTTCACCATAAGATACTTATCAATCATCTACTAAATATTGTAAAATTAGTTACATTTTCGACTTGTAAAATATTGTTTATTATCAAATAAGTGATATCCCTATTTTTGTAATTTTAAGTAATGACATGGTATATAAAACAATATTTAAAAACACAAAATTGTTTCTCTGTCTAAAGCTAGCTTTTTCTCAATATGGATGATAAGACAAATTTTGGAATAGGGCAATAAAAAAATAATAATTTAAACCTTATATATTGGATAGGTTTGGAGTACAAGACAATTTTAACACCGCTTGAGAATTTGTTCAACACATCCATCACTCTGGCTTTTTATTATAGGATTGAAGTTAACCCTATTTTACTCAATTTTATACTAAATTTTTGTACAATGTGTCAATCTTGGTTTTTGGGGTTTGAAAGATTTGACAAGAAAGTAAATGGATCATAATGGATCCATAAAAGTCTTCAACTACCAAGATCCAAAACCTTAAAAGAAAAGAAAAAGAAACTTTAATATATTGCCGGCAAGTCTATATATATATACATATATTTGGATCTACATCCAAGCCAAACAATTAACTCTTTATGACTTGTAATTATGTGATTTTGACCATTAAAGTAAAAGTCTATATATATATCTATATACATTTGTATCTACATCCAAGCCAACAATGAAGCCTTTATGACTTGTAATTATGTGATCTTGACCATTAAAGTAAAAAAAAACTATAAAGAATGCTGTTTTTAAAATAGTTTAGCATTCAATGATCTTGAATTCTAATAAGAGATTTACATTTATGACATTACATTTTCAGATAAGGTTTCTAAACAATTAATCAAAGTCCACAACTTGTACTCAATGGCTATACTTGCACAAACAAAGATAATCGTGTAATTTTGAATCACTATAATACAACTTTGGAGCACATTAATCTCTATAATTCTCCAAATTTCATAATATCTAAAAATTATTAATATCGTATAAAAATTCGGTAAAATTGTGATATTCTTCGATGATTGAATGCGCAAACTGAATTTTCATACATAACACTACCGAGCGCTAATGATATAAGCTCTTCTCATCAAAGGAGAGTTGACTATTCAACCTTGATACGGACAAAATATAGTGGATGTACAAATTTACTTAAAATTTAAAAAAAAAATAAAAATAAATGTGATTCTTTGGCTCCATTTCCTACAAAAAGAAAAGATCCAAACATAAAATAATAATAATAATTCATTTGTTTGACAATTTTTAATAATCATAATTTTTCCTCCAAAAGTATAACATTCCGTAAAAGTGGACTTAACAAAACTTAAATTTGGTCGCATAATCAAGCAGAGAAATGTTGAAAATGTCTTACTTCGTCCCAGCACTTTTTCGTAAAGTGGACTTTGACAAAACTTACATTCAAAACACTTTTTTGAAGGCTTGTTACCATTTTGTTTTTGGTAACTTGTTTTAATTTGAAATAAAATAAATATTTTATTATGGAGTTCTTTGAAAAATAATCAGAAGTATTTTTGGTAATATCATTTATTGAAAAATATAATAAAAATTTAATCACTACAATATCAAGTGTTATAAAAATATCAAATTGATATTTTAATTTTTGATCACTATTGATAAAATGTTTCGACACTCTATAAAACAAAATAATTTTTAACAAATACGTTATTTTCACAATCCACTATTATAATATTGTTTAAAAATAAAAATATCAAAAACAAAACGTATAACAAACAGATTTTAAAAGTCTCTAAAATATTTTATAATAATTTTAATAGAGTAATATGCTTAAAAAATTTATTTAATATATATATATATATATATATATATATATATGTACACACACAGATGGAGACAGAAGACTAGGAAAGCATGTGGTATTGTGGTGTGTATGAATTGATGGGACTCCCATATTGATATGAACAAGATGGGTACAAAGTGGGGTAGCTGTCCTACCAGATTGGTTGAGTGGTACTTGTATTTGACATTTTATTAGTGAATAGCAGCGACAAAAGGGTCCGCCGAAGAACAACTATGAAGAGGTTGATGGATGGTAACAGCTAAGAAAACAATGCCCAATATGTGAGGTGGGTCCCTTGGAGGGTTGCACGCCCTTAAATGTCCCCCTCATGTGTTCGATCACACAAAGTAAATATTGAATGTGACATGTATCAAGTCATTCGTATGTTCAATTAATAATTATATTTTATTTTTTAAAAAATTTAATTCACTTATCAAATTACTAATAACGATATAATATATTAAATTTAATTAAATAGGTATATTTATGTCGTGACGTAATGTGTTTAGTATATCTAATATCTCTTTTCATCGTTAAACATGTCAAGCATATCGAGTCATTTGTATGTCTAATCAATGTAAATGCACCATTTAAGTTAGTTGGTTTCAAATACTTATAAAAATAAAAAATTATTATATAATTCTGAATCATTTGATATTTAATGAACATGTTCAATTTAAACAGATGTTGAGATTTATTTGGGTGGCATACCAAGGCACAACCCCATGCCCATTCATCCTGATCACAAGATACAAGAGTCATGCTTTGGGCCCTACTCTTTTACCGTAGTGCCTTGATTTGGGGTATTATTGACTTTCTCCTGATCTAGCTATGACACTTTTTATGGTTATTTGAATTTTGAACCAACTTATAATTACTCGACTATGCTCAAATTCAATTTACTCACTTGAAAATAACTAGTTTGGAAATAAAACTTTATTTTCACCTTTTTGACAAGTAGATCTCACAAGAACATTTTTCCTAAAAATATTAAATTTTTTTTTTTTTTTAAAAAAAAAAAAAATTTAAGCAACTGTCCTAGGCCTTTGACCACAAACATCACATATCCTGCCACTGAATTATCACACCACACTCAAAGACATTAATTCTTGACATTTCATTAGAAGAGAGAAAAAAAAAAAAAACTTCACTTACATGGTTACTTAAGCCCCTAGTAATTTAATTTTGACTTGTCCATCACATAATAAAAAGATAACCATGAGGGGATAGCCTAATTGCAACGATTCTCACCTCACTACTTGGAAGTCGAGGGTTCAATTTCCTTAGAGTCACCTCGAGGAATTTTCCTTTTAATTACCCTATTCATGTGGGAGTACTCAACGCTAGATTATTGACCTTAAGAAATTTTTTTGGCATTTGTTTGACGCATGTGGAACGGAAGACTTTTTTCGATAATTGCCCGGTGCACATGGGAGTACTCGATGATAGATTATTGACTCTAAAAAAAATTTCTGATAATTATTTGGTACATGTTGACGTGGAATGGGAAGATTACATGCACTTATTGGATGTTATGTTTGTCCAAAAGCTCGAGATCATGGAAGGATACCAAAACCTATTTGAATCCAATCTCTAGTAAGTTGATTTTGTGTGCAATTTAAAATGACTTGTTAACTTGTAAAGTAAAGCTCAAGTGTTGCTCTCCTAAAAGTTAAAATGCAATTATGGTTGACAATTAATCTTGTAAGATTTAAATAATGAGAGTGGTTAACAATAATAGTCCGTAATAATGGATCTGTCAATTAAGAAAACTAAAAATTATTGGGTTATGATTCTTTCTTAAAATTAAAACTAGTAAGGATGACTTGGGTGCTATTTTAATGAAGTACTGAAAATTTTAAGACTTAAATTTTAAGTGGTAACTAAAAAATAAATAATTTTTAAATTTTCAGCATTCAACATTCAATAATAAGTGATATTCAGTAATAAATGATGTCCTTCCTTACAATTTTACCTTATTTTAAATGAGGCTTACCACTTTCAACAATATTCAAAGTGTTTTGTGGAACACATTTAATTGAATAAACACTTAATACATTTAGGGTACGTTTGGATAGGGTATATTTGGAGGGATAGGGAGAAAAAAGAAAATAAATGATAGTGAGAGATTGTGATCCCTCATTTCCTATCTCTCAAAAAAATGAGAAAATACGAGGAGAAAGGGTTGTGTTAAATAGTATTATCATAATTCTGAAATTATCATCAATAATTAAAATGAACAAATTATCATTTCATTCGTATCCCATCTATTTAAAAAGATATGATAGAAATTCGGTTGTTATCCTTTTTCTTTTCTTCTCATTTTTATCATATCCAAACAAAAATACTATTATTTCTTTTCTTTTCCCTTCTATCTATCAAAACATAAATATAAATTATTACTATGCTTTTTTTTTTTTTCTTTTTCTTTTTTTTTTTAATTAATAAATCATTTATTTTCTTTTATTTTCTCTTCTATATATATATATGTATCCAAACAACCCTTTGAATAATCAAACAGCACCAGATTTTTGAATAATAATTTTCTATCAAAATGGCTGGTCAAATCTATATCAGTTCAAAAATCCATGTGAACACAACTTGCTGATATTATATCATACTTGCATATTATACTCTCTGTGTATGTGTGTGGGACAACTAATTATCATTAAATGCAACACATAAATAAGTATTAAAATTAGTAAAAAAGAAATTACTATTTCACGAGAATCTATTTATGACTTCGTTTACGGTCAATGCCTTGCCAAATTTTTGGGATACGATTCCTTTGTTCTTTGTTTAGTGTAATCATTTTGACCAAGCAGTTGTCATTACTTCTTCTGCACTATTTTCAAAGTACCTTTGTTTAATGTCATTCATATGAAAAATTAAAACGCATTAAATGTTCCAAGTGGATATCAAGGTGTCACAGTAATTTTTTTTTACCAAATTTTCTTTTATTTTTATTTTCAGTTTTGGATTTTGTAAAGAAATTCAGTACACCGAACACATCATATTCATTCACATCGTGTATGAATTGTACGTCAAACATATTGAATATCTTTTCATAAATTCGGGGTCGAATTGGACCAAATCAAACCAATAACTTTGATTCAATTTTTTTACTCCAATTACCCGAAAAACACATAGGAAAAAGAGATGGAAGAATGGTGTATGAGTTGAGATTTTAAGATACGGAAAGAATTATGTTTAAATTGTAAGGATTTTAGAAAGATTATGGAAAGAATAATATTTGAGTTGAAATTTTAGAATAGTCACATCAAATTTTTAGGACAATATAGTAGTCAATTCTATCATCTTCCTAATCAAAATGGTATCTTGGAAGGTTTCTACAAATAAAATGGGTTTTGAATCCTACAAATGTTAGTTCTATTATTCTTTAGTGGGGCTAAATATCTAAAATACTCCTAAAGTTTTTTTTTTAAGCAAATAACACTCCTTTTTTATTTTGGGTAACTCCCTCAAGAATTTAAAATTATTGTAAAAAAGGACTTTTGGGTTGTTACTGTTAGAAATGCACTGTTAAAAAAATACTTGTCTTGCAGATAACTGATTAAATTTAATAAATACCAAAATTACACTTTATTGATTCCCAAAATCAATTTCCCTTTTGTATATAAATCTCAAGAATAAAGGATATAATCATAATTTTATATTAACTGATTTTTATTTTTTAATTTATTTTTAATTTTAGAAAGATTATTTTAATATTTTTATCATTCCATTAACGATCAATTAATAGAATGTTCTTATTTGTCCTTACAACCAACGTGGAGAAATTTTCAAAACTTATAAAGAGTTATATGAGCTATAGAAAGGTTAAATGCTCAGCTTCCGTGTTTTTTTAGTGTGATGCATAGGAACACGATGAGTACCTAAATGGCTAAAACCCAATAATATATATGACGCATAGACAATTATTACGCATTCTGTGTACTGAAAGTGGTTCACTAACAAACTAAAACAGGTATATGACTGCTAAAGTGGTACATAATATAGAATAATATTCACGAAAAATAAATATATATTTTTTTATATTAAAAACCTAAAATGATATTTTGTACAAGGGCAGTTTGCTTGTAAAAATATGTCAAGATTGTTTCTTCACATATCAGAGTTCGAATTCCTTTAATCACCTTTAAAGAATTTTTCACGTATTTTTCACGTAATTATCTAATGAATGTAAAATGGACAACTGCATGTATTCCATAGTGAATTATGAAATGTTCTAATAGGTCCCACAATATCATATACTCTACTTATTTCTATATATTTAAAAGTTAATTTGGGTCCCTAAGTCCACCCACAAGCAATATCCCCCATTTCCAATGATTTTGCAGCCACAACTGATTTCAAGTATCATATTGTTGAAACTTGCACAAAAAGATCAGACATTTTTTGTTATTTATTAAAAGACTAATACCAAATGAAAATTAAAAAATCGAAAAAGTGATGAGTGGATCGTCTTTAATATTTAATATTACTTATTTTAAAAGTATCTTCGGGGCTATGTTGGTGACCAAAGATTTGAATAATTTGAACTCCGTAAAGCCACTCCTACAAGTCACTAATGAATGGTAATCAAACAGTCTTGGTACACCTAAACAAATTTCCCACAAAAGTCCCAATCTATATATATAATATACATATAATTAGGAAAGCCAAAAAAAGGTTAAGATTCATAGAATATCATACCCTGATTAATCAAATCAGTTGAAATGTACGAAAGATAACTAAATTATAAAAACAAAAGGGCCCACTTTTGCCAAAGCCATATGTTCTGGGCCAACATAGCTTTTCTTTTTCAAGTCAATCTTCAACCTGTGTTCCTGTGCCTAACTCTTGAAGAATGCTTTAGCAAAATGAGAAACCTAGGGCCATGCTTGTTTCACACAAAAGAGCCCGATAACGATAACAATTATTTGATAAAAAAGGGCAAACCTAGTGCACGAGACTCCTGCCATTGCAACATACTATGGTCCATAGTGTAGAACAAGAAGTTATTCAAACACAATTAAGGCCATTTCAACCTTCAAAATCACATTCTCAGTTTCCCCTATGGAATAAGTGAACCAAACACTTGATGTTGAGATCTTTCACCTTCAATACAGTCTCAATCCAAACACCCGCGGGTTATCTGGCAATAACGGAGCCTACGAGAAGAAAGTGCTATTCAGGAAACGACATAAGGGGCATATAAAAAGGCCAGCTCATGATCACAATGACCTTTTCAACTATAAGAAGAGGATGGGTGTTGTCTCAAAATGCAAAGAAGAATCAATTAGTAACATGACCTTGCCGCGTAAGGTTCAAATACGAGGCCCAACCGTGTTCGAAAAACGCTGTGATTCCATCGAAATTCAACTAAATTGACGCTATGGACAGTTGCATCTCAAATTTTGTACTCATCTATGTTGACTTACAGAAATCTCTTCAACATTGCCTACAAAACTTCATGGTGAATTGAAAAAATAATACAAATTATTATAGTAAAAATAATATTACTAGAGTTTCTTCATGCTACCAAAAATACTGGACCAAAGGAATTTGTTGGGCCATTCTGAAACCCAATCCAAATATAAGATAAATTTGTGTGACCCAAACCATTTATTTGAAACAACACAGGTTTCATTTCTGTATTTTTCTTTTTTACTTTTACATGCAGAATGATTCATCAGTTATGGTCATCAAATGAGAATATCTCCCAGTAACTAATATTTACTTACCAAAAAAGAAGAAAAGAAAATGGAAAACTAATCTAAATACAGCTCACATAAATTCAGGCATGAAATGAATGATACTAAATGATCAACCCGGATCTTTGGAAGTTTCTGATTGGTTAGTTGAGCTCTCCGAATCTGGCTGGTGAACTAATGCTGTGCAGTTATCCTATTGAAAAAAATGAATAACTTCAGCTCAGGTGACCGAAAAAGATGTTTAAATAAATCAGTTTCTTTAAGCAATTTAAGACTGCTTAGACAAAGTCCATAGTCTTTAACTTGCTCATATACCCACAGTGAAAGGAAAAAAAAATGTAATCGAACGACAACTATGAGAAACTCTAAGGTTCTCGTACCTTTAATTCAGTTGTGGAAATGCTCACACCATTTGCTGCAGATTGAGGTACCAAGATGGCTGACTGTGGAGGAGAACAAGCAAACTGGCATTATAACATGGCAGAAGTCAAATATTGTCTTTCAACATATCATCAAACAACGAGTTACTGCAACTTTATTTGTGAGCAGTGAGGAAGAAAAAAATCCACTTGCCTCTGACACACAGGAGTCGAAATTCTTGTTCTCTTGCAATGGTTCGTTTACTGAATTATGCTGCTGACATGGAGAGGAAGCTGCATTGAAGGGGAGAAAATAATTAAATTTCTTATGAAAATGGCGTTTCATGTTGAGACTTGAGAGTGCAATGTGATCAATTTTCGCATGGTATAATTTTACAAAAAGTGACCGACGTCTCTCTCGAATGTAATATTTTATTGTGTTCCAAATAGCATTGAAATTATTCATTGCATGTCAAGATTAATTTTCGAATTTTTTAAAATGACTGCTTAATTCTCTATCTTATTATGTGGTGGCAAATCCATTCCGAAGGATTGATTTTCACCTTTACCGGTAAAAGATATAGAAGAATATACAACATGGCTCAAAAGGAGGGAAAAAGCAGAGTAATCTGTATTTTCAGCCGTACCTCTTGCAGAAGACATATTTGGAGAATTTCCTCTACTGTTTTGAACCGCATCTTTGATACTATTATGCCAGCAAGAGCAAGAGACTAATCAGCTACAGTTAGAAGAGCAAGATAATAATCAGCTATAGTTGCAAAAGAAGAAAATTTCATGTGCAGGACAACTATAGTTGAGATCCCAACAACACAAAGAACAAGAAGTGGTGAAAAGAATTCATATTGCCTTATTCTAAGAATATACATTGCCTTTTCCCATCTGATTTGAATATGCCAAAGGAAACTTTTCTGACATTACAGTAGATCTAAATCAAAGTCATCTCCAAGGAAGCATGAAAACTTAAATGCATAGACAAGTGTGCCACTAACCTGATCCATATTGTTACAATTTTGAATTTGTAATTGTATATTTTTTTGGCTTTTGAATGTTGGAATGGTTTTTAAAATCTCATAAGCCTCTTATTGATTTATTACGTATGCACAAACTGACAAACACGTATGCATGCCAAAGACTTGCTTCGCTCAAGTTTACAAGTTATACATACAAGTCATTTGCATGCTGCAAATTGCAAGATCAGATTCACTCTCTCCAGTCTTAAAATTTTATCCAAACCTTACCATTTAATAAAAAGACTAAATCTCAGGACAATACATATATATAATCATTTCAACCACAGAAACATGACTTCTTATTTGGCAAAAGAGAAAAAAAATAAAGATGACTTTACTTTTGTCCATCTTGAAATTCAGCTCTACTTAAAATATTAAATGCTAAGTCTGATGTTGGAGAGTATACAACTTGAATAGCAAAGCGAATTATAAGAAAATAAATTGAATACTGGAGATGATGACATGTACATACTGTACCTGTTGCTTTCATTTTCTCTAGTTGTTGCACTTTCTGTTTGTCCTTCCAGTATTGAGGAGAATACCCTTTTATCCTGGCACAGGGATTAGTCATATTTTCCGGAGTTCGACATTAGTGACAAAAATAAATTGAGGCCATCTACAAAAGGTAAAGTTCACAAATATGAGGTACTTTTCTTTAAATTGAGGCCATCTGCAAAAGATAAAGTTCACAAATATGAGGTACTTTTCTTTAAATTGAGGCGATCTACAAAAGATAAAGTTCACAAATATGAGGTACTTCTCCTTGGAAGACCCATCAGGACAAACCGAAGGACAACTGCTAGAGGCATAACAAAACGCAGAAGTGCAGATTTGACTGTCACACTAAGGATCATGTATAGCGTAAATTGACCGGGTTGAATAAATGCATTTGACATGTTCAAGTAGGCACCCAGGTTTTTTGACACAACAGTTGACAAGTTTATTCATCAAAGTAGCACATCTTAATAATACAATTACGCCTGGAATCATTGGTTGAACCATCGAAATTTAGTAGGCAAAAGGCAGATGGCTCCTAGATCCACCTAAACTCTACCATATAATTCCAAAAATATTAGGGGCACATCTTATGTAGCTTAAAGTTCTAAAATCACAACAAGAAGGTCACAGTAGTTTATCAATGATCAAAACAAACCCTCTTTTCTCACCTCTTCATTCATATTTGTGACAGTATCCTGAATCTTCCGCAAGATAATTCCTAGACTCCCCACTTCGAAATGCAACAGCTGATCATTGTTCATTTTAGGATAAATTCAGGAATGACAAACACTGTCTACGAGAAGCCAAATGAAGAATAACAAAAGAAAAAGGAAAATTTATAATAGCAATTTTAAATCCAGACCTTTTTCTCAGAATTTAAATTCTGTATGACCACTTCCTTTGCTGATAGTGTTTTCTGAAAGTGAGGCTGGTTAAGATAAATTACTCAAAAGATATACTTTTGGAGGAAAGAAAAAGTTCATTATTCAGAATCGATAAAACATATAGATCTTCATGAATGTGTGTATGGATATCTCTTCTATCTGTGTCTGGCAGTTGTTATTAATTTTTGCTGCCTCCAGCTGTAATTCCAACTCTGAAATGATTCTATCCTTCTTCCAGATATCATTCTCATTATTTCTCAGTTTAGTTTCCAAGTTGGAGATCCTTTCTGCAAAGATTAAAGTAATTTCTTGTTAGAAATAATTCATAATCGTGGACAGATCAAATATTATCTGCACCATTATTACTTCAGCAAAAAGAACGATAACAATGCATTTTTTTAAAAGTCCAAATCACTAAAATTATTAATTTATTCCCTAACACAATAGAGCCGATAAATCACTAAAAGGTTTACAAGGATTCATTGTTATGCATAACTCATGACTAGATAGATGAAATACAAGCATTGTTGCAAAGTCCAAATTATTGTATACTACAATAATGACTGGTAGAACTTTTCTTGGCCGAGAATGATGAGTATCATAAATAGTATGATTTTCTACATCACACTTCACAATACAATCTGCAACAAGCTATATAAGGCAGACAACTGAAATTTTGAAATTACCAACAAATACTTTTTCAAATGTAGAAACCTCGTCCATTTTGCTCCTCAATCCAGCCACTGAACATAACAAGCAAAGTTAAGAAGGAAAATGATACTGTTTTTTTATGGTTATATGAATGAATTATTCTACAGAACCGTACATAGACATTGTGAATACACCTGAAAAAAGTCAAAGTCCAGAAAGCTACATAGTACATACCTATGCTCTCTTTTTCACTCACAAGGTGGTGAACATTATCCACAACTTGCTTGAGAGAGAGAGCCTCCTTTTCAATTGAATTGCATAATGCTGAATGAGAGTTGATCTTCTCATAAAGGACTGCGAGCTTCCTATCCTTGGTTTGTATAGATCGTTTCATTTCACAAGTAGAATCCTGCACATCTCTATGACATTAATGAATGGTACATAAACTGAATACATTTCCTGATATGACAACGTTTAAAATATAATTCAACGCAATCAAATACTACTGCACAATGATTGGCTACTACCAAATTTTTGTTAGTTGAAGCACTTGCACACCTTTGATCTTAAGAAAGAGTAAGCGAAATGAAGCATGAAACATCAAAAAGCATAATAGAAGTAGACTGTTGCACACCATGGCTCTTATATGGTACAGCATCAAACCAAAAACTTCATTTCTCGCCTAATATATAGGCAGCAAATTGATCACTGAATTCCCGTAGTTCTATGAATAACTGTGCAAGGCTCAAAGTAATCACTAAATATCTCCCAAGGAAGAAATAAACAGCTAAAACATTAACCCACACCGTAATCAAGTACACAACAATACCAGTTAACTTTATCAGTAAATAAAATGTGTGCTGACCCGTTAGCATTATCGAGACCAATTGAAACTTCCCAAGAGAATTTAGGAGGCAATTGTCATTCTTTTTTTGTCTTGGGCACAGAATAAAAAACTAGGGTTCCTAACTTCCTACGAACCAGTATAAACCATATACTTAGCTGTGATGCAGGGAGTGTCGCGCGATTAAGCCATTATAAACCTCAACAGAAAAAGGGAAAAGAGAAACTTACTACTCCTATAAGAATATGAAAATGATTTGTTTGAAATTAATTTTTTCAAATAGTTCCCTAACAATAATCCCTATGTCTTCTTCAACCTTGATCAGTTCAAAAGTTTCAGATTTCGCCACGCAACTCCATACCAGTGTACTTGACTTTAATCTCTCAAAACAATTTTTTCATTACAGATAAGTAATCACTCATAATCGGTAATCAGTACAAGATATAAACCTCATAAACTTTTATAAAATTTTCCCTTGACTGGAGTAAGCAATTTATAGTTCCCTTCAACTCCTTTTGCTTGTTTTCAAGTAAAGCATTGTCATTTTGAAGGTAACTAACCTGCAACAACAAAATTGAATAAACAATTAGAAACTTAAGCAATTGAAATAGTCAACTAATCAGATAAATGTCTGCACAAACATTCTCTTGGTCTCTAAGAAGAATTTCCACAAACACATTGTACACGAAGTTCACAACCTTCCTTTCGAGTTTTTGTCGAAGCTCATTGGATAAAGCTAATTCCGATTGCAATTCCGTTAACTTTCTGCCCAAATCTTCCTCGCTTTGCTTTTGCTTCTGAAATTCAAACATCAATGATTTATCAGAAGAAATTATTAATGCAAGTGTGTGTGTGTGTGTGTGTAAATCTATATATGCGTCTATATACATATGTGTGTGTAGAGGAAATTTTGATTTAAATGAAACCTGCGTTAAATGGTGAAGTTGTTCGGTGGCAGAGTGTTCCCTTTCCTGTAAAGTTCACAAAGCACGGTATGAGAGAGAGAGAGAGAGAGAGAGAGAGAGATGGTGATGGAGATTCTTACTCTGAGTTCACGAACTTCGGTGATTAGGGCTCGAAGCTGGAGCTTGAACTTAGATAATTTGAGCAGCTCCATTTTCCCGCCAAATTTCCTCTGCCCGAACCGTTTGTTTTGTTCTACGCTCGAAACTCGGATGATTAATATCCTACTATTCCTGAATCCTGCGTGGTTGATAGTGGGCCCACACAGGCTCTTATGAAATTTGCTCTCATGTTTCAAAGTCCATCTGTTTTCAAATTTCTTCATGGGCCTTCCTCAATAATGAAATGAAATCGGAAGCCTTCAAATTTTTATTTTACACTTCTTATTATAACGTTTTTGAAATTTGTTTCAAATATTTTTGATAATATATTCTTTTGAGAAATGAGAAATTTTAAATTTTAAAAACAATAAAGATAATCACAATAAAAGGTTCCATTATTTTTTAAAAAATAAATTCAAATCAATAACAAGTTATATATACAAGAAAGAGTCGTGCTAACGACCATCACATTTGTCATTTTGAAGCATAGAGCCTTGGATACAATAAGTTTCACATAAAATTTCATTATGTGAACGGTCACATCCATGACAATGGAGGGGTTCTGGAATAGAAATGAGTTAAAATGTAGCTTAAATTAGAAAATTATTTCTAGAGATAACTCTATAATTGTTAAAATGAGTTAAAATGCAGCTTAAATTATAACATTCTATTTTGACTATTGTAAGGTTTTCTTCATGACGCAATGCAGTGTGTAATTAAAACGATTTTGATCTTGGTGAGGCATGATAAAGTCCATCAACTACCCTTTTGCATTTGGTTGAGTGTTGGTTGGCACCCAACTTGTCAAAGAAAATTACCTTCCGAAAAAAAAAAACTTGTCAAAGAAAATTGCAAGAGAGTAATAACAATAATAATTTTTAAAAAAGTTAAAATAAGTTTCTCAAGTCTTCATGCATGAGAATGCTGAGTTTTACCTTAATTTTTTTTAAATAAATAAAACGATAATAGCAATGTTACAATTATCGACATTGTCACAACGACTGAGAGAGAGACGAGTGTGTGAAGTCCACCACTTCACACCCCTTATCTCTTAATCGGTATCGCAATGTCGTCAATTACATATTTAAAAAAAAAAAAGTAAAATAAACATGAAAACATGACCGTCCGGAAAAATAATTTGAATTTTGAAAAAATATATTTTTTTTTCCCTGAATTTTGAAAATATTTGAGACTTTTGAACTGTATCAAAACAGTGGTTATCAAATGAAAGTGTCCAACTAAACCAAGGTGTATAATGCAATTTGCTCTCCCACTAGACAAAGCAAAAACATTTTTGGTTCAAAAGAATTATAATTGATGGATTGATCAAAACTTCAAGCCAACAAGAAGCCCACAAGAGACTTGAATCTTAAATAATTGGTTTCTATGGGTCCTCTCCAATTCCCAAATGGTGGACCATTTAACTTATTGGCAATGATGATATTGATTGAGCTTTATATGCCTTTAAATTAGGTCCTGAATTCCATTCTCTTCAATCATAATAGTTTGGTAGTCTGTCCTCAATCAAAATTTTCATTCGACAAAGCTAAAAGCTGGCAATGCCTATTGCAGTACTTGAGGTTTTGTGGGTCTAATTCCCCCCACTTAATATAAAACCTAATTATATTTCCAATATTTATTCATCCAGGCAAGTATTGTATCTCATTATACAAATCTCAGCTAACACACACATGCACAGGCTGGGATCTGTATGATGTGGTACAGCACTGTACCATAGAGGATCCAACTCCTCTTCAACGTATAGCTGACACACACGTGCAAAGGTTGAGATCTGTATAATGTGGTATAACACTGTACCATAGAGGATTCAACTCCTCTTCAACATATTGATGCATGGTTGATCAACATATTGATGCACGGTTAAGTATCTATAAGGTGCCTACCGCATATCAATTGGCTTAAGGTAAATGTCATTGAAGGGAGAAAGTATTATATGGTCCGAGATTACAAATCTAACATTTTGTATTTATTTGTATGAATTTTTTATATCAAATTTGAACATAAATTTTTAGGTTTGTTAGTTCGAGTTTTTTAAAAGTTTGGAGTTGTCAAATGAATGTACTTTTTAACAAGTTGGGATCCTCTACAGTACTGTACTGTATTATATAAATCTCAATTCACACACGTGTAAAGGCTGTGATCCTTTGCAGTGTACAGATCCCATTTTATAGACAATTGCAGGATCCTTTGTAGTGAAACACAAATGTTGTACTGCACTATACGAATCTCAGCTCACACACACGTCCATAGAAAGGCTGCGATCCGTGAATGGCACAACACTATACGATAGAGGATCCAGCCCCGCTTCAACATATTGGAACATGATTGATGTTTTTCAAACTCTAATTTAATTAATAATAGAGAGATTAAGAACATATAACCACCTATCAATTGGCTTAAGTTAGTGAAATTCATATTCAGGTAAAAGTAAAAGTCAATAAAGAAAGAGTTTTAATTGATGGAATTACGTAATTTTCGTTGATAGTAACTTGATACAAATTGACACGAGTCTATTTATATATCACATTGTGATCCACCGAGAGGAGGCTTCATTTAAAACAATCGACCACATATTTACATTTGACAACATGACACGAAGTGACAGAGATCAATAGCAGATATATGCACCTAACTTCACACCTTAGTGGACAGCTAATGCATTGCTATTTCTAGTAGTTTGGCTCATGACATGTTAGGGGTTAACAATTTCTTTGATGTCACTTTATAATGTGCGCAACTTGCAAGCTTTTCACGTGTTGTTTTACAGCGAAGTCCCTTATTACTTTTACGCTGATCACGCTTGTCTAACTAAATTAGATATGTAAAACAAAAGTGGTTATCTGTATATATATATGATGTTAGACCAACAACTCAAGTATGGGGTGAAATTACTCTACATCGCCCCTATTGAACGGGATTGAGGTAGTTTAATGATTTTTTGCTACCATGTATGGTGGCTTCGCACCTTCTTTTTTATTTATTTTTTTTATTTTTATTTTTTTTCATTACCGAACATATGCAACCCTCTCGTCCTATATGTGGTGAAGTCACGTTGGGACCGGTGACAGGAATTGCCCCCACTGAACTTTTAAGATTAATAAAAATACCCCCATTGAGTTCTTAAAATATTTAAAAATACTTCTCATTTTCTAACTCATTTGCCCAACATGACTGTTTAAATTCAGAAAAGACTTATGTCTTCAAACAAGTCCTCAGAGGGGGCGTGTGAGAACCAACTAAGAAAAAAAGAAAAGAAAAAAAGGACCCATCTCTTTTCTTCTCCATAAGTATCAAATTTCAAAAATGACCCCTCATTTATTGTTGAATTTTTTATTATTTGCATTTTCAATACACAAATTGTGATAATTATAGAAGTGTCTTGATTGAACTCCTAAACATTTCACAAAACCTTAAGAAAAACTTTTGAATTAAAAAAGACCCCTCATTTTCTACCTTTCTTACCCAACAGTATTTTCAAAAAATAAAAAGACACATCACTCATGTCTTTATGCTCTAGCAAGTCAATAAAAATTTAGATTAAAAAAAAAAAAAAAAACCCTTCCTTACTAATTTATTATGTTGGTTCAAAATTTCTTATCATAGTATTTTTAATGATTGCCCACTTAACTAAATTTTTTGCTTTCCCACTAATTCCACATGTACCAAAAAAATTCCCTGAAATGGTTCAATGGGATTCCAATTCTGACCTTTAAGACGTGAAGCGAGAATCTTTAAGATAGTTTTTTTGGATTTTTCATCCCGCGCAATACGATACAGTTTTATGAGTTTTTCGTATTTTCCAGTTATCTTAAATTTTAATTATCTACTAACAAATAAGTAAACATTAAAAAAAATTATTGTAGTCATTTACCTAAATCGTCCAAAGATATGACAAAAATCAACCAAACAATGTGTAATACAATCTTATAGCAATAATATGATCTCAATCTATGATTGATGATACTATAAATAATTTAATTTTAAATATAAAAGTTATAAACCATCCTTGTATTTTGAGCTCATTGGGTTTTTGAGTTTCTCGGATTACTAAAACATTTGTCCAAATTCGGTTCAAAATAAAATCAGGCTCTAAAATTTAAACTTAATCCCATCTCACGGTCTCAAATACCTTACCTACTCTTATAAATACTTAGGATAAAAACTGGGTTACTCAAATTAGTCCCACCCCAAATTATAACCCAATACACATTGTGATCATAACCATCATGGTTGTTTCAACTCTTTTTGCTAATCATAATTTGATGTGTAAGAAAACCTAGACAAAATTAACAAATTTATCCAAGTGTTGAATTATTTCGCCGGGACTACGATTGGGCGGGAATCTCATTGTTATTGCATCTAAATTTGAAATAATATCATGCACGATCGAGGGAGCGAGCTTATTGTGTGAACGACCTCATCCTAACACTACTCGGCAGTTTGACTCAAAAAAACTAAGAGGACTTCATAATTAATTAATTATAACCATCATTAATTAAAGAAGGTTTGGTAGCAGATCACGTGCTAATTATATAGTAGTATAGTACAAATCTATCCAAAAAAAAATTGAGAAGAAAGAACGATTCGCTCACAATTTTTTGAGCATCATATTCGTACTTGCCCTACAATTTAGTGGACCCCATGGCATTGATAAGAAGTAATATTATTATCTAGGCCCATGGAGTACACATTCCATTTCTGTTACACCGTTGATGCCTTATGAATTATTTATTTGAGATATTGTATCATAATCACACGGTCCAAAACGAAGCAAATCGTACTCGTGAGGAGGAGAGACTCAAATCTCTCCATCAAAACTGTGGCCCTCCGAGAAAACCTCACTCGAAGTCACTTCCTTTCAACTCCCAACGCCTCTCTCTCTCTATAGAATATCTCTCTCCTCTCTCCTCTCTCCTCTCTCCTCTCTCTCTAGATTCTAGAGTGAATGGTGGTGGTGGAAAAAGACGCCAGTGGGTACAGTGCGCACCAACAACCTCCACTGTCGAAGGAGAAAGAACAGCTTTAGCTCTGCTGTTCCTGCTCCCTCATCTCTCTCTATACCTCTCGCTTTCGTGGACTCTCCCTAAATCCTACTCGTATCAACCTTCAAATTCAGAGTTCGAAACTTATCAATTAAGCCAAGCAAGTGTTGGCGAGCTACAAATCAAGTTGGATAAATGCGATGAAAATTTTGGATTTGAATCGGTTGTCGTTATGGAAATGGATCCACCGGCTCTGAATCTGATCAAGGACGGTTTGTTTCAATCTGTGAATGCGCCGTCGTACAATATGGCGGAGATCTGGCCGTTTCCGATTAACGGCGGCGCGAGTGTTGGCGAATCCAGAGGCGGTTTGGAGTTGAGGAGCGTTCCGTTTGGGCAGAGCTTGGGTCGGTTTGCGGATAATGCGAGTGCGAATCGAGATGTTTCCGGTGATGATCCGATGGTTTTGGACCAGAGAGGGGCTCGTAGTGGCGGCGCGAGGAAGAAGAGGCTTGATATGGCTTTGGAGGATGAGTCGGCTAAGGTTGTCTCCACAAGCACTAGCAATGGCATGGTACTTCATTTCATTAGCTCTATTTGCAATTCTGTGATACGTGTGTATATTGTGTGTGCGCACATTATGCAATTAGCTCTTCTTTTTGGTATCATTGATTCTTAATTTTCAAATTATCATTTCTTAATTTTATTCAAAAAATTTTGGAGAACAGTTTTCTATTTGTTTATGATCGGAAGTTTACTTGGATAGATTATGTTTGGGAATTATCTTAAGCAATATGGATCTGTCTAGTGATCTATTCAGAAAGTGCTGAACAAGACTATGATTCATAATAATGAAACTGATTCGTAACATTCGTCGAGTGATTTCACCTAATTTAAAAAATAAATTTGGTCAACCCCGTTCATATGGGATTAAATCAAGAATGATGATGATAATGTTTGAAATTGATGATGATTTTGGTTTCTAATCGAGCAGAATGGTTGCGATGGTAAGCGTCTTAAGACATCTGGATCCAGAGATGAGAATTCTGATTTCAGAGCTGAAGAAGGAGCAAATTCAGGCAAGCCACCGGAGCCACCAAAGCTAGATTATATCCATGTTCGGGCAAGAAGGGGTCAAGCCACCGATAGTCACAGTCTAGCAGAAAGAGTAATGGCCATAATTTTAACATATTTTCACATGAATTTTCTATTTTAGCTAAAAAGTCTATAGAAACTAGAGCTTCATATGTATTTTTCTCATCAGAATTGTTTGGTGTCCAGGCTAGGAGAGAAAAGATAGGCGAAAGGATGAAAGTTCTCCAAGATCTGGTCCCCGGTTGTAATAAGGTTGGTATTGGCATTTCTTAGACTCTTATCATTGTCTCGTTAGGTAACATTTTCAGGTTTTTGTAGCAATTTTAGGGTCTTTCAATTTCTCTGTTTGTTGTTATTTCCTCCCCCCAATTTTAGTTAATCATTTGTATACAATATCAGTGTGCCTTTAGAATTTGTTGACACATAAGTTCTAACAAATGAATGAAATTAACCAAGCCAAGTGAGATTAATTTCTAATTTATATTTACTGAGGAAAAAAAAAAAACACAAACAAAAACTGCAACCAGCTCAATCTCATCACTTGGGAAGAGTTCCACAGCAAGACCCGATTTTGCGGACAGTGTGCTATGTGCTTTGTGACATATATATATATATATATATATATATTTAAAGGAGGCTATATTTGCACTCCACTTTTCTACGTTTGCACTCTATTTTTCTTTTTTCTTTAATATGAATGACAAAAATAGTCCCTAAGCTAATTAATACATCATCCCTTATTTAATTATATCATAACTACCCTTTGTACTATAAACTTTCTTTTTATATTCTTTACTTACTCGAAATTATAGTTTAACGTGGCAATAAACCAATTGTCCTCCTTAAATCTTACTTGGCATATTAAATGCACTAACTAATTTTAGATAAAACTACCCTTTCATCGTCATATTTTTCACCATTTTTCTTTCTATATTAATTATTCCTCTATACAATATCTTTTTTCTGAAAATTCTTCTTTCTATAAAATACTTTTCTTGAAGAACTTTTCTTGAACAATTCTGATGCAGTGAATGATTTTTTTTTTCTTTTTCTGTTGTCTTCAATTAATATTATATATTGTTAATCTTTCAAAAAAAAAAAAATTATATCCAAGGAAAAAAAAGGAGAAAATATTTGGAAGGTGAATTCTATGGATGTAGGTTTTTGACATAATACCTACCTACCTCTCTCTCTTTTTTTTCTTTTTCTTTTTTATTTTTCTTTTTTTCGTTAAATCCATGTTCTTGAAAATTTATTGTCAAAATAGTTGGGGCTTTTCTCATAACAAAAATAACTTCAAGATTTAAATACATTCCAAATTAATTCTTAAAAATCACATGAAAGAAAAAAATTGAAATTAAACTCTAAACACACAATACGAAAAGAAAAATAAAAGAAAAAATTACCATCACCATTAGCATCGATAGTGTTGAATGGCCCATGAAGTTTTGATAGTTTTTACATGCTTCCTGTGCAAATCTTCCATTGTTACTTGCAAAGATAAATATTAAACCCTAACTCAAGGAGAACAGATGATTAATACAAAGTAGAGAAATAATTGAGAGAGGCTATAAGTGACCCAAAACGCTAAATTGGAGAGAGAGAGAGAAAGATATTTCTATAACTGAAAAGGTAAATGTGGTATTTAAGAAAAAATAATTATTTATTTATAAAATGAGGGATAGAAGTGTCCTTTCTTCTAAGAGTGTAGTGCAATTGTAGGAAAGTGGAGTGCGAATATTGCCTCCCTATTTAAATATAGTGATTATATATTAGGTTTCTTAATTCTAATTTTCTTCTACAGTTCTGTTACCTAATAAATGACTTTAGAGGGGGTGAATATAGTCTTTGGCAAATAATGGCTAATTTTTCAGATTAAAAGATATGCAGGAATTAAGCAAATATCTCAATAACTTTTGCTAGATAGATTTAGCAAGATAAGCACAATATTAAAGGAGATAAGGGAACAGAAATTGCAAACTATAACTCGTCGATTTAGCGAGGTTCGAACTCCTACTCCTCGGCTCAAGATCCCTCTGGAGACTTTTCCAAATCCATCATGGCTTATCCTTTCAGGTGGAGACAAACCTTTACGATAAAACAAACTCTTCCTTCAAGCTAAGAGAAAAACCTCCTCTTAGTCTTCCTTTGGGTCAAACCAACCCTTTAGGTCAAACCAATCCTTTGAAGTAGATTGTAGGAAGAATATGTATACAAGTTTATCTCTCAAAAGATGAATATACAAATCACAAGCTCACAAGACTAGAGTAGATATGAAATCAAGTTGAAACTCAAGTATATTGAATGAAATGAAAGAGAAATCAAATGTTGTATTGAATGCTCATAAATGTTCTCAAGTGTTGTATGTCTTGCTAAAAAATGTACAGCCTCTATTTCTAGGTTGATTAAGGATCAAGATTATGATATGAAAGGATAAATATGCATGATCTTATAGAAATGAACTTCAAAAAGAATTCATAAGTACTTTGACAATGAATCCTAAGCACTCACCAACCTATCTACCCCTTTCTTCAAGCATTGACATTTGTCATTGAGTTTTTGGGATTCTTCCTTGAACTTTGAGTTGCATTTTTGCCCTTTGAGGCCCAAGTCAACTTGAATGCTTCTTGCTTTGACCTTTTTGATCTTTTAAGTCATTTCCAAGTCCATAGATGTCTTCATGTGTTTGAATGCTTTGAATGTGACTTTGATCTCCTTAGCTTCATTGAGGTTAATCTTGGAAATGTGACAAATCTAGCACAACACTCAATGTAAAGATTAGTGTCTAAACACTAGTAATGGTTTGTAGTCATCAAAATTACTAGATTGCCCTTAGGTTGAAACCTTTGGGTCAACAAGTTATACTTATTATTTTCCCCCAGTGGCGACCATAGTGTGATGGGGCAAGAATTCACTAATGTTTGGCTGCGTGAGTTCAGATCAAAGCTGTCCTTTTAACAATGATCACTTTCAGTTCAATCTTTTGGGTATCTAAATATTGTCCATTTCCATTTCCATTTCACACTTTCTGCTCAGTTTTCATGTTCAGTTTTATGTGTGGCCATGACAATTTGTGACAACCAAGATGACAACTTGCTTAGTTGCTTTCATTCAAACTCCTCTTTGTGGTGGCCAAGAAGGTTTGATCTTTTTTGGACCAGTTGAGGTGTTTGTTGGTTCTTTTTATTACTTCAATAGACACTTCACTTCAAGAGTTATCTTAACAAAACCCTAAGCCGGATCCAGAGTGTTGATGATTGATGACTCTTGGTTCTGTATCATGAGATTGATGTTCCCTTGTCCGTTTTTTTCCTCTCCTTCTGATAGAATAGAGTTTCCCTTCTTCTTGTTCCTTGGCAATCTACTAGGTTGTGTGTGACTTTATCAATGTCCAACCAAATAGTCCTTTGAGGAAAGAAAATAAATTAGAAGCAAATTGCTACGAACCCATTCATATGCATATTATAGATAATCAAATCCATCCTTTTATGATTGTGTGCAATCAAATGCTAACTTTGATTTCTAAGATATTCATGAAAAAATACCTTAAAAAAAAAAAAAAGAGAGAGAGAGAAAAGAAATTCCAAAGAAAAAATAAAGAAATCTAATACAATAAATAGTGGGTAAAGGATTAGATCATTAGAGTATGGTTGGAGACCTCGGAGTGGATCTTCTATTCAATTAAATGACTATTGACTATATATATGTCGTCATTGTGTAGAACTATTGTCTCCTTTGGCAAATCTCATTATAATATAAATCTAGCCTAAAGTGCCCTTAAAGGGAAGTAGGGCAGTACATAAAGAAAATTGATTTTTTTTCATAGAAGATCAGAGTGAAGGATTATAATTATTGGCAAGAGGAACTCATATAACCAGACGCATAATAATTTGAATCACCCCCACCCATAATAATAACAAAAATAAGAAGAAGAAAAGCAGCCAAATGTAGATCCAATCCTCGTTTGTTTTTGAAAAGTAATTTAACAATACAGCTTTTTCATGCAGCATCTAATGAATCGTCTTCACTCCCTTCACTAAACTCCAATACTTTTCTTCCTCCATGTCATCCGTGCGATAAGATTGGACTGGTTACAGTATTTCCTATCCGATTGTCCGACTATGAGATCAATCTCATTGAAAGATGAATAGTTGGTCTCAATCAGGCCTTGGGACTAATTTGTTGCATACTTTCCTGTGGCTGTATACTCCTTAACCTGATATACATACATATATATTTTTCATTACTGTTCCCTAAGAAGCATTATTTGTATTCAGGTCATTGGCAAAGCACTTGTCTTAGATGAGATTATTAATTACATCCAATCACTACAGAGTCAGGTCGAGGTACACACTTTTTATTTATTTATTTATTATGGGTTGCTACATTATGTTTGAGATCATTACACTGTTGAGCTTGGACTTCACACATTCAAGTTAATGGGTGTTGCAGTTCTTGTCAATGAAGATTGAAGCGGTTAATTCAAGAATGAACCCTACCATTGAAAGATTTCCTTCAAAAGATGTAAGTCCCATACTCAAGTTTTTTCAAGAATTGTCGACAGTAGTTTCACTCTCTTGGCTACTGCTAGCTGTTCCACCTACTTGTCCTTAATATTGTTCAATCATTTTTCAGTTTCTATTCTATCTTTTAATGTATTATACATCCTCGCAATTAGCGGGTTAAGTAAGACATCTTTGATGATGAAATTGAGCATTATAGCATTTTGTTTTGCTTAAGAATTAACTCGTCACAGTAGTTATGGAACTGTGAATTTGTAGCATTGGATTTATTAAATTATTACAAATTTTATATGCATAATATCTACGTCTCAAGGAAAAAAAACATGATACGAAGGGTGTATGGAATTGAGAGATAATTATTGGAGATTCTTTCATGTTTATTTATTTATATTTTTATATTTTTTATGCTTAAATGGTACAATAAGTCTATTTGGTGTTTCAGTTTTGTCAACAACCATTTGACACAGCAACGGTGGCATATGGTTCACAAGCTCCAAGGGATTACAGTAGGGGTTCATCCCCAGAATGGTTGCACATGCAGATTGGTGGTGGCTTTGAAAGAACAACATAATTTATATAATCCCGATAAATTCCGACGAAGAAAATAAAGAGGTCATGTTTCTTCCTTCAGTTATTACAACCAAGTATATTTGTATACCCATAATGAATCAGAAAGAGAGCTTTTATCATTTTCCACTCAGGCACGGAGCTCTGTTTTTGGTCTGTAAAACTTCCGAAATTCATATCTCAACATCTCCAGTTCTGAGTTAGAAAATAAATTTGTTATAATTTGTAGCAGGATTCATATACTGTGTCTGAGTTATGTCCACCTCGTGTAACATTTGGTATATTCAGAAGCTAAAGGTTCGTTCGGCAAGCATTTTAACTCTATGTTTGGGAGTTGATGATGGTCGAATGAAGTATTAATTTGCAAAATGTTATCTACAACGGTCTTTGAAATTTTTTAAAATTTTCCTCCAGTGTTATTCTCTTTTCGGGTAGATGCTAATTGCGAAAGATTGGACAACAAATGGATGTGATTGGTATTGCAGGACATGAATTCTCAGCAAGCCAATTTTTTTTTTTAAAGACTTGTTGATCTGCATTTGTGTATTGCAAGATAGTTGTGTAATACTCAAAACATATCATACCTTCCCCAAAAAAATAAAAAATAAAAACTCAAACATCATGTGATGGGCTCACGCCCCAGAGACCCGTGGACTCATTTGTCCTTCCGTTGAACCTTCATCATCCGTTTTGAGAGGTATATCCAGAGACTAATAGGTTCTTAGTTTGAGGTTGCTCTATTCCTTTCTTTTCTTTTTTCCTTGTCAAAATTAGGAATTGAAATCATAATTGCAATATTCAAGTTGAAATGGTCCTTAGATTGATATATCTTAAATAATTTTTTAATAATGAAAATAAAAGGCATCACCGAATATTTGCTGTCTATTTGCGGTGCTGGAAAGTTATTGGTATGCTTGGTTTGTTTAGTTTTCTATTTTCCAGACTGAAAAACATAAAACTGAAAAAACTGTAAAAAAAAATTTTAAAAAAATTCTGTTTTGTTCAGTTTTCTGAAAACTCAATTATAAAAATATCAGTTTTCAAATAAATGTCTTTTATAATTTTTTGAAAACAATTTATGTTATCTAAATTTTTAAGATATATTTTTGAGTTACAAACCAAGCAAATCTTAAATTTTTTAATGTTATTTTAAATCGAAACAACTCTTGCTCTAAATTTTTTTAGGCCAAGTCGGTCTAATAAGTATCGATGAACTGGTTACTTAAGATTCAATTAGAGTCCCAATCTAGACAACAACGTGGCTATAAGCATATTTTTGTGGATGTAGTTGCGGATCTCTACGTGTCTCTCACTTTTGTGAAACACTAGAATTGATTATATTAGTAATGAAATGATACTTTTCATGGTATTTAGGAGTTTTGTTGCGGCAATTAAAGTAAGATGAGCAGAATATTGATGATACAAACCCACCTCGTAAGTAGGGTTCACCGAGCGAGTTGCAAGGTAAATATCGAATCACCTCTAAAATTTTACAGACCATTTTTACATTAATCATGAACATAAATGTTCATTATTACATTAATCATGAACATAAATGTTGAAACTATCAGTTACTCCTATAATTTTATGATTTTTTTTTTCTTTTTAAATTTCCATTTCTCAAAGAATCAAATTGCTTTCCACACAAATTCGGCTCAATATCAGACTGTTAGCGGCATCTCATATCGGGATCCGAATAAAAATTAAAACGAGTGGATATGTAGCACTAATTTAATAGTTGAAGTTTTTAGTTCAACGGATAAACTTCTATTCATTACTTTTGGTATTACAATCAGATCCATTTCTTGATCCAGTGCCGGGTCAACACATTGCAAGTTCGAGTAAAAAAAAAAGTTAGAAATGTCTCGTATCAAATCCAATTTAAAAATACCCAACAGAAACCATCCTAAATCCCATCCTAGATCGACCTTTGAGAGGCTTTCATGCCCCCCAAAAACTACAATCAACCCACAAAAACTGATAAAATTTTTGTTTCCATCATTCACAATTTAAACAATAATTATATTAATCATTGTGAATTAATGATTTAAATTATTAATTCTCAATTTTTGGTTTTACAAACATATATAGTAATTTCTTGATAAACAGACGTTACAGACCGTTCCTCAACGATGGGAGAATATATGAAACCATCCTTTCGGGTCCCACGGCGCACGTTAGTCAATTTTCGTTGGAACAACACTGTCTCATTGACGCCATTCGCCAGTCCTCTTTGCCGCTTTAACTTGTATCAAACCAGCCAATTCCACGCGCAAACAAAACCAACCCATAATAATAATCACCACCTCGAGACCTCCGTAACTTCACGCGCTCTGTCGAGAGTGGCGCTAATTAAGGCCACTGATTATTTTTCACGCGGCTTAAAATTGTTGTAGAATAATCAACCTCCATATAATACACTACAAAGAAAGCAAAATTAAAGGCATGTATATAAACATATACACACACATACACACAATTACAGAGAACCAATCTTCAACCTAAATTTGTTGAATCGAGAAAGAGAAGAAGCTGATTGGAGATTTCTGCGATTTTTCGTCTGTCCGGTGATCGGAATCGGACGAATTTGTTGAGGAAATGAGGGGATCTAGATCCAGGCTTGGTGGGGATTCACGGACTGTAGAACATATCTCTTCGACTCGAACCGTTCGACTCGGTCGGGTCCAGCCTCAGGCACCAGGTCACCGCACCATCTATTGCAATGATCGAGAAGCCAATCGGCCTGTCAAATTCAAGGTCCCTTCTCTTAGCTTCAGATTTTTTCTCTTCCTATTTCAATTTCTCTCTCAATATATACACATACCTATTCTTATAGGCACTGTTCACTTATGAGATTTGATGGTTTTATAATTTTATTGAATAATTTAGGGTTTTAGAGATGTGGCATCGATTTACTGTATTCAACGTTGAGTTGATTTTTGAAATTTGTGGAGGTTTCAGTATATGAACGATGTAGAAGCATAATGATGGTTTTCAATAGTTGTATTACCGGATGAGTGAAAATGTAAGCTCCTTTCTGAGTTTGTTGGAGAGTGACTGTGGTACGAGGATTCCTTTCACCGCAAACCTATTCCTTCACTCGTATTCTGTGCCTGCAACATACACGAAGATGGGTTCTGGGGTTAAAATGGATTGATTATGTTTGGGATTTTCGCTAAATTCAACTCAAATCAACAAAATTGAATGCCATTTACTTGGTGTTTCCTTCGTGGATCATTCCTGGGATTAATAAGTATGAAAGAATTTTGCTACTGGCTGAAAATTCATGCATTTATTTAAATATTAATATACAAGTGTTATTGTGTTAGTTTCGGTTGTATGAATTATGAAATAGTTCATTCAAAATGCACTTAAAGACCTCGTGACAATAATTTTCAGGTTTGAAAGCTAATTTGAAAATAATAAGGAAACGAAGAACCAGTGTTGTTAAAGGAGGCGCAACACTTGCGCATGTTGTGTACCCAGCTGAGCCTTTGATAACGTTTGCGCCTTTAATATGGAATATGAATATGCTTTAATTTAATTTTTAATTGTGCGCTTGAGGTGTGAGCCTCGCCTTGCTTCTTGCGCCTAGGCTCCAAAGGACCTCTAGCGCCTTAGTGCGCTTGGGCCTTTGATAACACTGCGAAGAACCAAGAAAACCATCATGAGGTCCAAATTGAAATAAACATAATTACTCAACTATTAAGATATTAGAAGTGTTATATGTTTAATTTTTCTCTTTCGAAATGCACCAGGTATTGATGCTTATGCACTAATATTTCATTTAATACAAAATGGTATTTGTGCTTCATTATTCTAAGACTGAAAAGTAATCTCCCCTCCCATCAGTTTGATTGATTTTGAAAACTAAGACTCCTCTTAAAGTTGAGGCTTTAGAATGAATAGTGCCCCTTTAATTGTAATATACGCCTTGTGCCTATGCTTGTATGCATACATTGACCAACTTGAACTTGTTATTATTTCCAATAAAAGATCCTTGTTACCTTTTCTTTAGCCTTGTTGCTAACTTGTGGGTACCTTTTCTTTAGCCTTGTTGCCAACTTGTGGGCACCTTTTCTTTAGGCTTGTTGCCAACTTGTGGGCTTGTTCATGTGCATGTGTTACTTTTGAGGTGATGGTGATTCATTGCAGACTTGTTGAAAGTGTGCAAGAATAGTGCCAAGCAGCTTCTATCTTGTGCCTATCGATGTTGGTTGTGATCGTTTGTTATAGTGAAGGTCAATACTAGAGAGACTAATAGGTTAGAAGACCCAAGTAAGCTTTTCACTTCTGCTTTATAGCAAGGTTGTTTTACCTAGCTCGAATTTCTGCCTTGGAGGTTCATTATATTTTTTGGATACCTTTAGGAAGTTTTGGTGAGGGATATAGAACTAAACTTTTGCGGTGTTGTGCATTTCTTCTCTATTCTTTTTCTTTTTGGATTTGATTGGATTTATTTGGATTAATAGGGATTCTCGTACTTGTGTTTTTTTAAAAAATATTTGAGGAAGATCTTTGGGATAACTGTTTTACTTGTTTTTTTGGACATCTTCTTGGGTGGCGTCTGTTAGCAAAGAATTTAAAAGGGATGTCTTCAGCTCGCTGTGATTTTGTCATGCAGTCTCAAGAATTTAACTCTCTCTTGACTTATGGTGTTATGACCATCATATGAGAGAGATCATTGATAAATCTTCTGATTCAAGTAGTTATTAGATGGATTCTGGATCAGCAAATTTGGGGGGCCAGCAACTCAGCAATAACAGGGGCAGCTGTAGAGTTTTTCTTTAAAGATCAGGGGCACATGTTATCTCAATCCCCTCACTAACAGGGACAACTTTTTCTACTTGCAGAATTTTCTTATTTTAGATAAGGGTATTTGTTGTGTCTTTTGATTGCCTTACGGATATTTAGTAGAACGGAGTGTGATTCATGACTAGAAAATGTGGGGACGACCTTTCCGTGAAGGAAATAATTGCAACCATAGTTGTTAAAGGCTCAAGGCACAGTAAGGCGCCAAAGGCCTTCTGGAGCCTAAGTGTAAGGCGCGTGTATATAATATTTCATATTTAAACATATATTATTATTATTATATATTCATAATCAAGCAGTAATTGCAGTTAATGTAAGTAGTGAACCATAAATTTTGTCAAATATTTCATATGTTTAAACAATACGATATATGATATAGAACCTTTTAATTTAGTAGTCATTAGGTAAAAAATAAAATGATAAGAATAAATGATTAAAAAATACAAGGCGTGCCTTTTTTGAGCCTACTAAAAAGCGTGAGCCCGAGGGCTTTATGTGAGCCTGATTGAAGGGGCTTGGCTTGTAATAGGTTGAGGTACCCTAGCTGAGCCTTGACGAGCCTGGGCCTTTTTTGGAGCCTAGGCGCGCCTTTAACAACTATGATTGCAACTCATAGATTGGCTTTGAGGAGAAGAGGGATGAGGATTATTATTGTTTCGAGTGGGGGTGGGTTATAATTGCTATCTACATGTATATAGTCTTTAAACTTATTTATATGGAAAGACGCTTTCTTAACTGATGCTATGATTTGCTATCTACCTCCTCTTCGCCCTAAATGGTGGAATGGACATGCGTTCTGCTGCTGGTCATTTGGTATCTATGGATCTGTATAACTGAGACATTTACATGGATTTTGCCAACTTCCTTGTTCAGATTTATGAATCCTGCTTTGTCATTCTACCCTAATGTCATAGTTATTTTAAACCACAGTTTATCATATGTTTTTTTTATTACTTTTACCCATTTTAATTCTGGGCTTCCCCTTCCCTCATGTTACCAATGCGGACCACATTGTTCTTCTTCACAGTTGTAGTTATTGGTATTCATTTCATTGTTGGTGTTGATGCTTGAACGGTGTCTTAAAGGCATATTTGTTAGGACTGACGTGTTATGACATAGTCAAAAGATTGTCCTATTTCGACTCTGGAAATGGATAATTGTGGTGTGGCCCACTCTTTCGAGTACCAATGGTCCTATAAGAAACTCGTGTGGGAAGATTGAGCATATAATTTTTCTTTTTCTCTAACTTGGTTATGTGGTGCTTATTTCCAACTGACCAAGGGTCTAGAACAAATTATGTGGACCAGCAGGATATGCCATATTGGAGCCATCCTGCAGGAGGCAGTCTACAATCTGAATTAAGATTGTCAATACATATGTAAACCATAGAAAAATATATGTATACCATCTAATAAAAAAAATAAAAAGATAAAAACATGAGTGGCCTATGTTCTACACAATTAAAGTTGAAAGTCATGTTGATTGATTTGTACAAGTTTGTTCTTACATTTGTCTCTTCTCTATGTTATATGTCACTTAAATGGTTATACTTGTTCTAATTTGATTGAATTGGGATCAATTGTTTCAGGGGAATTCTATATCGACTACAAAGTACAATATTCTTACTTTTTTACCAAAAGGGTTGTTTGAACAAGTAAGTTAGCTTTAAGACTCCTATCCTGGTATTATACATGTGTTTTTACATTATGGCTGTCCCTATGGAATGGTGCCAATATTCTTACGTGGCGTTAACCCCTACCTGTTTGCTTGATTCAAATCCAACCTGGTTGTGCTTGTGTTGGTTGGTGTTAAAAGCAACTCACTGTTATATTAAAAAAATGCAATCCATCTGTTAACTGGGTACCTCGGGTTGGGGAAATATGTCTCAAATTGTTATACTTAAAGGCATTGTTGGGGTGAAACCCTTTTTTAAAGTGGGAATCTATTTACCTTGAACAGTATTCTGGAAACTGCAATGAAAGGGAGTGGAAGCTGTTTAAAAACTTAAAGAATGGTCCTTTTTTTAAGAAAATAAGAACTTCAGAAATTTGTGATGCACTTCCAGAAAATTTTCCTCTATATATATATATATATATTTTTCATAGAATTCTCTTTTATATATTTCTCTAAACCATTTCCTACAATGAATCAAAAAATAATTATTAAAGCTTGTTAATATATCCTTAAAGTTTACATATTGGCTTTTTATTGGCCTTTCTAGCATCCATTTTCGTTTTATGAAAGTTCCTCATCATTTTTCATGTACTAGTGTACCAATTAGTAATTGATTGATTTGAAATAATTTTTATAATTCACAACCTTCTTTTTATTTATTTGTTAAAATCCTTGTTTTCCTCTTTTGTTTCTCTTTACAGTTCTGCACTCTGCTAGTCATATAGGTAAATTTGATAATGGACAAATAAGGTGGTTTCTTTTTCATAGGTTGTTTGAAGGGGAAATTTCAATTTTTTTTTTCCTTTGCTTTTGGGATACTAAACTTTCAATGACATTGGCTTCTAGTTTGTATTTTGGATTTTCATGTTCATTTGCAATATGTATTATTTACCTTCTCTTTTAAGTGTGTGATAAATATTTGAAACGTATTTTGTTTTTTATATTAACAATTTAACATCAATTGAAAGTATTTCTTTTTCTTTTTTTCTTAAAAAAGTTAAATTGGTTAAATGGGTTTGGTTACTCATAAGGCAGTGGTTTGTGCGGGTTTATGTTCGCTACTTCTTCAATAACGGGGTTGATCTGGATTAAGCATGTTTATAGCACCCTGCTTGGCCGCAAGTTGTATACAATTTATTGGCACCACTATCTTGTTACTTATTTATTAAATTATTTGCTGAAACATATTTTGTGTTTACACTGACAGTTCAGGCGGGTGGCTAACCTGTACTTTCTTATGATCTCAATTTTGTCGTGCACACCCATCAGGTACGCTTTGTAAAATTAGAGATCAATGATTAATTTTCAAGTATCAGTCATGTGGACCAGCATATTAATTAGTATGGCATTTTTAACATGCTTATTTCATTTTGAATTCAATTGACCCACTTCCAACTTATAGTAATTTGTTGTTGCAATATAACTGGCTGGAAGGGAGGTGTCCCTAATGGATTGATCTTTTTGCAGCTCTTTCTCACGCTCTTGGTTATTTAACAAATCAATCTCGGTACTTAACCGATATGAACTATAGGTGGAAAACACTTGGGACTTTTAATATGTCATGTTTTCAAAGCATACAGCTTGGAGCACTTTGAGAGTGTGATTATCTTTACTTAATTCTTGATTTGCACTCATGTTCAATTTTTTATTTTTATTTTAAAATTTAGATGGTGCTTCCACAGTGTTGTATTTCTACATCTATTTCTATTTGAAGGGGAAATTGATTAATAGGAAGTTCCATTTGTAATTTTGAATAATGGCACTAATTAAATAATTTTATAAATACTAATTACTCCCTCCGTCCCACAAAAAGTGTCCACCTTTCCATTTTTGGCTGTCCCAAAATAATTGTCCCATTCAAAATCCAATGTACTAGTTTTTTTAATATTCCTAATTTACTCTCCGTGCCTTGAAGTTATAAAAGCATGAGGACCCACCATAGAAGGGTATATTTGAAAATTCATTCCCTACCACTATAATAAAAAAAACATTGAAAACTGCACTCATTTTTATGTGGGAGAGGGAGTATTTCTTACTATGTTTATTTATGTGGAAATTTTATTTATTTATTTTTTAGATAGATATGCATTTCTTCTGTTCTCTTATCAAGATATCATATATGCTTCTGTCTTCTGCTGCTTCCTATGTACTTGCTGATTCACAGTCCCCCAGGCCCCAACTGCGGCCCTTTCTGCTTCCTTTTCCTGCTCCCATTTTTACTTTGACAACTTTGATTTTGCATAAGTCAGCACTAATTGAGGGCTGCAATTTTATTAGGTTCTGTGGACTAGTTTTTTACTGTGTTATGCTTCTGACTAGTTTTTTTACCGTGTTATTTGTCTGCATTTGATGATGTTGTTTCTGTATCATGCAGTCCTGTATCTCCGGTGACGAATGTGCTCCCACTGAGTATGGTGCTTTTTGCTTCTCTTGTAAAGGAGGCATTTGAGGACTGGGTGAGTAATATTAACCCTTAGGCTTTCAGCATGCAGTAATTGTTTTCTTCATGGGATGTCTTCAAGAACAGACTTGCATATAATTTTATTTAACTTGGGGCTTGGATTTCTATCAATTTACCTGCATTAGAGAGTATATGTCTGAAAAAATTTCTCACATACCTCAATTTTTATTTTTAGTTTTTATTTATTTATTCCTAATTATGTATATGGAAGAGTTTTGAAGACCTTATTGCATTCTTCTAGGTTTACTTAAGGCCTGGATCCCTATCAATTTATTTGCTTTAGAGTATGAAATTCAGGAAAATATTGCTTACTTCTTTTTTTTCCTTTGCTAATTATGTATAACAGAAGCGTCTTCAAAATGATAAGGTGATAAATAATTCTATGATGGAAGTGTTGCAAGATCAAAATTGGGTTCGCACTCCCTGGAAATCAGTGCAGGTCGGAGACATTGTTCGAGTAAGTACTGTCACTTTAGTGATCCTTTGTGCCAGTCTTTGATGAAGTGAGATTTCCTGTTTGGGGCTTGCAACCCGTGCTACTGATGTTTCTATTTGCTTGTGTCAATGCGAATTGTTGCATGTGTGCTAGGAATGTTTGTGAGATTTATTACTGTTTCCAATTAGAGCCAGAATTGAAGTATGTAAATCGTAAAGGTAATTGTGTCATGAAACTTTGGTCATGTTGTGGCCCTAAATGTGCCCCTATGGGCTTTTTTACCCCTAGCTTCGTAGCTATTCAACCTAGTCTCGATATCATCCATTAGAGACCCGTTGCTTTTATAACTATTCACCTTATACACAGCATTGTTGTGCCACCATATTTTTGTTGCTCGAGTTCAGTAACTTTATTAACTTTATCCGACAAGCTAAAATTGTTTTGGAAAATGCAACATAGTGTTATGGAATTGTTGCTTTGAGGCCCTCAAAAATCTGTTCAATGGCATGTAATTAAGGAGCATGTTTTCCACCATTTACAAGACTCAGACTGACCACTCCTATACCAATTATTACGGTATAAATCATCCTGTCCACACTAATGAATTGCAACTCAACCAATGGAGGGTTCCTTCAAACTTCAATGTAATTCATCAACATAAACATGTAGTAATAGCTAATATGCATTCTAAGCAAACAAGCAAAAGCAATATGGGCAACACGATATGGAAAATCGACTCTTTAATTGGTGCAGCCGTGAATTCTTAATTTCGTACTACAATGGGGACGGTGAAGGTGTAAGCAACTGCTACCAAGGATGCAAGAACTTTACCTTGCTTTCTTACCCTTTTTTACGGTTCTGTTTAAACATTTGATAAAGGTAGAAGAGAAAACATTGTTATGCTCTGGTTAATCATACTGCCTGTCTAGAAATGTACTCTGGAACTCTTACCAAGATTACTGCATTGACATTACTCAAAACTTATTTCTTGGATTTTTTGTTGGGTTCTAGGAAGGAATTGTAAATCCTTGAATGAGCTTGTAGAGTTCTTAGATTTGTTGAGGGTTTAGAGGCCCTATCTGGCCTTGTGTTGTTTTAGAGGGACACATTCCCCTTTTGAGCGCTTTTAATGAATTTTTACTTATCAAAAAAAAAAAAAAAAAAAAAAAAGAAGCACTCCCCTCCATTATAATCTACTACTGCCATAAAACAGCGTAAAAAATTAATTCAACATAAAATTCAAATTATACATGGCCACAGACATTTTTGCTAAGCAAAAGATGCATGTTACATCTGACTTGAATATTATTTTTTAAATTAAAAAGGCTGATGATAAATTAGGCAACCCTAGTTGGATTGGAGTTCTTGAGGGAAGGAGGACTTTTGTTGGCTTATTAGGGGTGACAATGGGTGATGCTGGAAACATTGTTCGACCTAACAATTACAATCAACTTAAGCCATCAATTGATGCTTGTCTTTTTTGACTTGGTTATACACAGTTTAGTGATTACACTGTGGCAACATCCTCAAACACGAATTACTGAATGCAGTTTTTATAATTATTGACAAAATTTTGAGTCCCATTATTGGCTGCAAAATAGTCCAGTGAATAATAGCTATCTTGTGTATACTGGTTCTACCCTTTTGTTGGCCTTATAAAATTGTAGAAGCACAATGTAGACAAACTAAAAATTCTATTTTAATGTTCAAATTTCTTAAAGTTACTTGTATATGAGTTACCCATAGCCTTTCTTCAGCTTCCAGTTCATACACATTGCTAAAACATTTACTTTATTTTTTCATCTTTGCATTTTTTTAATTTATTAGTACTTCAGTATTCAATAACTTATTCAAAGTTTTACTATAAAGCTGAATGTTGCTCTCATTTCAGGTTAAGCAGGATGGATTTTTTCCTGCAGATCTGCTATTCCTTGCTAGTACAAACCCAGATGGTGTCTGCTACATTGAGGTTTCTTTTCATTTATGCTATAAGATTCTGTCGGTAGAATATTTGTTAATATAAATAGATTTTCTCGGTTACTGAAAAAAAAATTGTTATCGTTTGAAAAGAACTAATAATTTTTTTGATTCTTTTCCCCCCCTTGTAATTCCTTCATTTTGTTTCCCTGGTAACAGACTTCTAACTTAGATGGTGAAACAAATTTAAAGATAAGAAAAGCATTGGAAAAAACATGGGATCATGTATCTCCTGAGAAAGCCTCCGAGTTCAAAGGTTTTGCCTCTGTTCACCTACTCATAAGCCTAGTGTTTTAGAGCATATTACCATGTAACATACATTCTGGCATTTTTAAAGCACTTATGTAGCTGTTTTGATCTCAGTTAATGGTCACTTAACAAATGTTTTGTGTGGTGAGTGTGAAATTTTTCCTTGATTCTGAGGTTGTGTTATCACCCTTAGCACTTCTAGAAAGTTGTGTTATGTTAACCAAAGAAAGAGTAATAACTAGTTCTCCATGACGAAAATCCCAAAATTGGCCTTTATACATATTCGGGTCTGATTGCAAGAGAATACGTTTTGAACAAGAAAGCAAGTTTAGAAATCATATTCGGCCCCATAAATATGAGCAACTGTAGGTTCAACTTATTGATTTCTTTTTGATAAGTAATAGGTTTAACTGATTGATAAGATTAGGATCTTGCTTCTTTAATCTAGAGCTTCCTGGTGTTAGTCCTAAAAATATTCAGAGAGACTGGATCAATTCTAGACAGTGACTATATCTTATTCTTCCTCTTCCTTCTCTCCAGTCTGGTTGGAAATCATCCATCTCCATTTTAAGACGATTTAGGCCGCTAGGAATTTGTGAGTTGGACTATACGATCTTGGCCATGTGCTTTAGGCCTGTTGAATTTTTATAGTCATTTATAGTCAAGTTCCCCTCGTTTAATTTGGGTGAGAGTGGCTATCTTTAATCTTTATAGGATTGAGTCACTTTTATCCGGAGACCAAGTCTTAGTGGTTCAAACATGGGCAGGATATATTGCAACATGTCCGTGAGGTGTTGTGGTATGCATTTCTGTATCAATTTTTTTTAAAGACAAGGTTGCCTCGTTTGTAATAAAATAAGGCAGATCATATTTATAGTAAAGTGAGGAATTGTACATGAGCGTTCGTTATAAATTCAATCAGTCTTTAGTTTTTATGATAGGAGACTTGAAGAGTTACTTGATGTCTAGATTTTTTGTGGTATTGAGTTGAGTTGATAATTAGAAATCACTTGAGTCCCTTGATTACATGATACAAAGAATGAATTGATCAGAAGCTTATAGTTACTACGATGTATAATATACCTATATTTATATATAAGAAATATATATTTTAAATGCTATCTTTGCGGTGTTGGTGTATCTTTCTTTCTTGGTATTTTTCTATTGTTTGTTGTGTTAGATTTATGTCTTGAGTTCTTGCTATGCTTCATCAGAGAGCTCAAGAGGTCCTTTGATTATTTTTTATCCTAGTTTGTAGTCAATTATGTGGATACTGATAGGGGGTTGTGTGCGTGCGCACACGCTTTTTTGGGGGTGGGTGTTTTTTATATACTTTTTTCCCCCTCTTGCTATGCTTCATCGGAGAGCCATTGTACTCCTCCTATTATTATTATTATTTTTTATCAGAGATTTCATTTAAGGGCACCCAAAAGAGGATTGCTTGCATAGAACAACTAGAAGAAAGAATACATCTCTATCCCCTCAAGCTATCCAAAAAATAAATCAAATCCTCTACAGATATACAAACCCACCTTGTACACCAAAAAAATAGGGAACTCAAAATTTTGTGCTTCAACACCCACACTAGAGCTTCCACTCCATCAAAAGGCTACCTATTCCTTTCCCTCCACAAACCCCACCAAATGCAAGGAGATCTTTCCCTCCACGCGTCCCGAGTGCTCTTCTCCACTGTACATCCCTTAATACTCGAGCACATCCTGCATAGAGGCTGGCAACACAGTGTCCCTCAACACCGAAAAGAACATAGACACGTGTCTCTGGCTACTGGATAATGTAAGAGAAGATGGTCCTTTAATTATGTTTTCTCCTAGGTTGTAGTCAATTTTGTGGATATTGAGAGGTAGGTGTTGGGTTGGTGGGATGAAGGTTGTCTTTTCTTTCTTTCTTCCTTTTTCCCCCTTTCTTCTTTTTCTTCTCCTTTACATGGCTCTCCAGAAAGCCTTTTTCCAAACAATGTAGGCTTTGCTACATGAATCTTGTTTGTGGTTGTTTTCATGTTAGGGTGTTGGTTTTTGTTGAACCTTACATTTCCGTGTTTTTTTCGCTACCTCGAGTTGGCGTTATTTTCACCCTTATCTTTCAATTGCCATGGCAAAAAATCTAGTGTCCTCTTGTCTTGTCCTCAATTGGTGGTACCTTCAACTTCTTACAAATGTTTTATTGCTTAGGGTAAATTACTCTGACCTCCCCTGACGTTTTCTTAAATTACCATTGGCTGAAACTATTGAAAAAAGTTTGGTCAACCCTCCATGAGGTTTGGTTGACTTTACTCCGACCGCCCCTGCAGTTAGTTTACGGTTTGCCAAGTTAAAAGCTAGTTAAATAGATAAATCAAAATGTCAAAAGTACCCTTCTTTGTAGCAAAATGACCAAATTAGACTTGCTCACTATTTAAAATTACTAAATTAACCTTAACACATGGACCATATTACCCTTACATGTCTAACACAGTATTTTTGGAATTCTTCTCTCTACACTCTTGTTCCCCTCTCTCTTTACAATCTCGTAATCCCCTCTCTACATCTCTCTCTCTCTCTCTCTCTCTCTATATATATATATATATATATATGCATCTCTTGCTGTTCCCCCCTCTTTCTCTCTAGCCTAGATTCATGCATATATACGTGCATATATTTGTAGCAAAAGCAATCTCTCGTTGTCCATGCACCATTTTTGATGGTGCTTTAATTATCTTAGCCATCAAAAAAAGCCTTTGTTACAATTGTCGACATTCATTCTTAGCAATTTTATATATAGACATTCATTCTTAGAAATTATATGTAAATGGATCAACGGAGAGCCCCCACGCAATTACGATCTCAACGCCCCTCTCATCCCAGCCTACCCATTGGAGACTTCATATCATAGTCGGAAAATTCAGTGCAAAAATAATGGGAAATTTCAAACATACTAAATCCAGAGTGGAAAGATGTTTAGGGTTTCAAAAAATCCTAACTCTAAACAAATCGCAACTACGCGACATAATTCGTGATCCAATTGAGCATCATCTTCAACCTAGGTTTCTTATTTTGTGCAAATTGGTGTGAGTGTGGTCAATAAGTCTCAAATATTTTGTGGTTTTCTTGTGAAATAATTGGGATTAGTGTTGTTTTTAGGGGATGAATCTATGGCCGTTGGTTACCTAAACGATAATTTTTTTTAGGGGATGAATCTATGGCCATTGGTTACATAAACAATAATCAGCATTCCACTGCAATACCGTTAGTGATGGGGACTGTAAACCGATAATCACCATTCCAGTATGTGTTTTTTTTTTTTGGGTTCCTAATAAATAAATAAATAAAAACTAATGATTCACCATTGTCTTCTCCGGATAACGATGCTGTTGTTGGCATCTGTTGTGGTGCTGTTTGCTCGTTAATGATGGAGTTGGAACTTGGTATAATGCATTAGAGATTGCATGGAAAATTCTGAGCGGAGAGATGAGAGAGAGACATGAGAAGCAGAAGAGAAATTTCATGGGTTCAAGGAGAAAGAGAGAAAGGACAGAGATTTAAGGGTTCGGAGAGAGAAAATTGTTGTCTGTTTTAGGGTTAAGGGGGTAAGAGTGTATGTTTCTTATTTTCTTACTACATCACCAGTGAGGTAAGTAATTTTATTTATTAATAGTGAGGGCAATATTGTACCTTTACAATATACGTTAACGGTAATAACACCTCCTAACTCTGACAGGGGTGTCAGATTTGTTTTTCAAAAGCTTTAATCTAAGGTTTATTTTCCCTATTTCTTATTGTATGGTTTTACATCTTATCAACACTTGAATATGCATTTTCCCCCCATCTCTTCCATTAACAAGTTGTTTTTGTGTGATTTTATCATTCGTTGTTTTGTCCTGAGAAGTTTGCGTTGGTGTGGAGGGGAGGAAGGTTTGCTTTTCTTTCTTTCCTTTTTTATTCCCCTTAGTGTGTCTCTCTTGTAGGGACTTCTTACATAACGAAATTCTATTAAGCCTTGTTTCAAACAATTGCCGCTGTCTGCATGTTAGGGCGTTGGTTTTTGTTGAATCTTACATTTCCATGTTTCTTTCACTACCTTGGATTTATATTCTTTTCGGTTTTTCTGCTTTTGCTTATCATGACAAAACATCTTTCCAGTTGTCCTTTTCTTGTCCGCAGTTAGCGAGGTACCTTCAACATGTTATAAATGTTTTTTTTTTTTTTTTTTCCTTATTGTATTCACTTTATGGTTTTACGTCTGCATTTTCTTTAATAAGTTGTTTCATATTTCCATTACATCTCATCCTTCATTTTGGTTGGTCAGTTACTGCACTATTTTTATAGGAGTCTCCCCTCGAATTGATCGTTATTGAGTCTATAGACTCCATGCAACAATGTATTAGTTTCACTATTCCCTTTCAACCATCCTGCCCTAATTCTATAAGTAACTTCCCTATCTATATTCCCTCTCCCCTCGAATTGATAGTTATCTAGTCTATAGGCTCCATTCAACAATGTATTAGTTTCACTATTCTATTTCAACGATCAAGCCTAATTCTATAAGTAATGTCCTTATCTGTATTCCCTTTTTGTCTATTACTGAGCCTAAGAATGGAACTGGTTGTTCTCGTTATCTATTGGTCATCAATTTTCTACTTACTTTATTTGTAGTTCTAATGGCATTACTTGTATAGATAATTTCTTGTTGCAATTGGTAGAAGTTTGGGAGGCCAAGTTTGTGGGACCATGGATTTGAGTTTAAGGGCGGTTATTTTGTATAGATAATTTAAAGATTAGGTTTGTCCACTCTTCCAATTGCCTTGCATTGCTAGGACCAACTTTTGATATTATCTCTTTCTTTATTTTTCCAAGTGGAATTATTTTCTATATATCTAGTCTTAGTCCTACACATATGAAGTGTTCAGTGCGTATCACCACTTGTTTTACCTGGACTCTTCATGTGAGGCCAAGGTGCCCGTGTTGACACGACACAACACGGACACCGACTCTTGATATGGGTCGGACACTC